CAAGCAAAACCTGTTCTTAAAATGGTCGACCCAGAACCATGTAAAGAATTAAAAGAAGGGGACTATCCCGTACTAACCTTCATCAACCTGGGGGTTTATGGTGGCTCATGCGAGATTGCAAGATCTTGTGATCTGTGCGTCTGTGCAGTGCCGTGCATTTCATTCATGGAAGAGGATATGAAAGGTTAGGATGAAGCACTGCCCACATCATGTAGAACCCCACCTTCCCATAGAAAAGCTCATGTCGCAAACAAAAATCCCTTGAAGTGGACAGCGACGCGTAACTTGTGAAGCATGAAACAACATCTAAAAAACATGTTCGGGGTTCATAATACATCACCAATCATAAATTGAGGGAAAACAAAAACCGTACTCTGTATGGCGTCCCAAATACTTTTAATATCAAGGCATACTTATCCGATGCACGCAGCCTTCATATTGTCACCCGCCCGTGGGTTTACGTCCATCTAGTATCATGGACCCCTAGGGGGCGTATGATGAGGGGGGCCATTTCTGGATGAGCCTAGGATAAGCCAAGGGCAAGCCCTTTAATAGGCCGAGAGACCCCCAACTCCCCAGTTCGCCTCATTTAGGGGTCCATGGTTCAACAAAGACAAAACAATCTTTAGGGGTCATATGATTGCCATGGGTTGGCGTGAATAATTGTTAAATCCATTAAATGGAGCCCCTCTTTGGCAACAACCGTGAGTTCGAAGAGAAACACCGAGTCGAAGGCCTAAGGAAGCAAACATCTGAAAACTTGCTTGAGTTTGCACCCAACGGAAACAAAATTGATAAACAGGGGCCCAACGCTTGCACTCTGGCCGGGTACGCACTATGCTCAAATGTAAGCACACCCTTCATAAGGAGTACCACTACCCGACAATCGTTTTGTTGCTGCGGGTGGGGGATGGCTATTTCCACACCCATCCACCACCATTCAAGTGTGCTCCTTGATAGTGCAAGCAGTTGATTGAGCGGGTGGAGCAGTGCGTCCACACAATGTCGGTCAAATCAATATTCGAGCTTGAAAGACAAAGACACACCAACACAAACACACACACACACACCCAGCCACCCAGCCACCCAGCCACCCAGCCACCCAGCCACCCAGCCACCCAGCCACCCAGCCACCCAGCCACCCAGCCACCCAGCCACCCAGCCACCCAGCCAACCAGCCAACCAGCCACCCCCACCCACCCACGCACGCACGCACACACACACACACCATCTAAGCATGAAGTTGCAAGAAGTCGTCCCCAATGCCCGTTGTTGGCATGCTTGGATCTATGTCTGAGTCATGTAGCAATCGGACTTGATCGCAGCTCGCCATAGCTCGCGATATGTTTTCTGCTGACTCCAAGAGGGACATGGCTCCTGAGCTCTGTCCGGCAGTTGCCATTGGCGCCCAGGCGAGTGCAGTTCTGCACACAAAAGAGAGTTTACGACGAGTCCATGGACAACATCCATATGACTCCGCAGAAGACCAATTGATCCGTTGGTTACCCTACAAACATCAAGTCGACGCGTTTAACAAACAACCCCGGAAGATTGACAATGTTGCCCTGACGATGGTGAAAACTCAGGCGAACTAAAAACAGCCATAATACGTGATGATACTGTGAATTAGAGGTTGGGATAAATTACCTACCAATTGTCCATCCACTTCATGTGCTCAACTTGGCGAATATGTTTCACCCATCATCGTCGCGGACGATTCCACGACGTCTGGGGAGTTCCGTCGATGAGCTCGGCACGAATTCGGCCCAAAAGGTTCATCACGATGGGCTCGTGTTGCTGCACGCGGGTTTCGTCTGGCCATCATTCCTTACCCCTTAAAACTCCAAGCCCTGGGGAAGTTTTAATCTTTTACAGACATATAGCCCATGTTACCCAAAAAGTTGAGAAAAGTTGTGTTTTTAAGAGGTAAGATTCTCAGAACTCGGTATTAACATGGTGTGCCCAAAACCATGCTTCAAGAATCTCAAAGTGTCCGCCATTGGCAAGGGCAATTACCCCTTAACTGTCATCTCCCGAATCGGTTTTGAGGACGACGCGGCTCTCATGGCCTTCTGAACATTGCGAGAGAGAGCTAGACCCAGCGCTAGATGTGCCGATATTATATTTTTATATAGCTAGGGGACACCATCATGCACTCACTTCCTGAGTGGATTGGCCAGAAAAAGGCTCAACTTGTTTGTGACTACAATGGTCTTCTAAAATCTGTGAACCCAGGGAGTGAAGAGAGTGGTAGCTGGCACGGGGAAGGTGGGCCATCCTTACTACTTTGTCGCTTCAAACGGTATTCTCCCCTGGGAAATGGGCCCAGAAAGCCCAATGGTCCACAATCACGTCTCGAAACACCGATGGCTGCTGGACAAAAGGCCGTGTCAATGATGTGTGAAGGGTCCCCAATTCATGTTCCAACTAGGACCTAGGAGAGCCCCATGAGGTCCTTTCTTTTTTGGGGGAAGCCTTGCAAAGGTGATTTCCCCTTCGCCTCCAAAACGGGTACCGACTGGAAAGACAAACTCATCTTCGGCCCAAGTCTTTACCCGGGGAAGTTGGCCGTAAACAATCTTTGCAAGCAACTTTGAACTTGATTGGCTCAGCTGCCCCTTGAGGGACCCACAAATAGCTCGATCCACTACAAATTGACCAAAAGGGAAACTACTGTGACAGGTCATGTCAGGTCGATTCGTTTTGGGCAAGTGAGTTGGGGCGAAGAAACTGCGCACTCAATGTCAAACCTCCGCTCAAAAACCAAGACGTTTTTTTTTGTTTAACGGATTCACGTTGCAAGGGCCGAAACATTTGCACTTATGAGCCTGTTACGCTCTTGACCCAATTTGGTTTTAACGTCCCAGCAACCCCATATTAGGTCCTGACAGTATCGATAAAATCCTCCAGGAAGAGCAATGCAAGTACAACACCTTGACCAGATTCTCTTCAGCCCTGTTAAAATGTGGGATGGTGCTCAGAGGGAACACAAGAAAAAACAAGTGAGCACCAAAGGGAAACCAATCAGTTTGAGGTGTCCAATCCCGTGTGTAGGGCCTACTTAGGTTTGTCTCGAAAGTCAAACATGGAACCTCTGATTGGGCTACCCTCAGATCTGCTAACTTTTAGTGGGTTAAAAGGCCCAATCAAACCAACCAAAAAAAGCAAACAAATGCTGAGAAATCCCACTCCACAAACCAAAGAAAGCGAAAGAAAAACTATTAAATCGGATGCCTGGGAGCCACCAAGCGAAAACCAGACTGGAGCAACGTGCTCCTTGATGTTCGAGAACCCGCCAACAAGCCCTTCAGCGAAACGCGCTTGAAAAACTTCCCCAGCGCTTGCGAGATGAATCGTGACATCATGGTATTGTTGACCCCATATTAAATCAACCCACCAGTTTATTCATAGGGGGTGGTTTTTGGCCGCTCCAAAAGCGGTCTGATTCCCCACTGAAACCAGAAACGAACACCCCCCCTATTAATGCACTGGGGTTGATCAATACGGGGTCAATATTACGTTCTAAGGTCCAAGAAAGGTCCCTGATAGTGAGAAATCTCTCATAACTTGTCGCATGTAGCAACCTCCAAGAACTCTCCCCGTTTGCGGAGAGCAGAAACGTCCTAGCGCAAACAAGGGGACGCTGCAGTGCAAGTGGCCCGAGCAAAACATATCAGCCCGAGCAAAGCATTCCAAGAGAGGCACCTTCCGCCTGATAAAAACAAAAATGCTTTGCAGGACGCATCCTACATCACTCTACTCTTTCTAGGCTTGGCTTTCGATGCCCCACCGTTGGCAAGTGCTAAAAGAGCTTTAAAAGAGTGCAACATGACACCTTTACTGGAATCATTGAATTCTGAGCAAATGTTTCTTGCCAACTGTTGGCATGGTCGCAAAAACCGTTCTGTGTTGCAGCCCTCTAATGAAAGTCAAACAGAGCCAACCAAACAAACACCTGATAACCTGCCAACAACAGCTCAGTTGTTCAGTGACCCTGGAAAAAAGGGAACCCTTTTTTGGGAAGACCATTTTAGTGGGGCAGCCACCAAAAAAGGGGAAAAATAATTGGGGCCACTGAACAACTGAGACAAAACGAACCTCGGTTGCTTTCTGCTCCCCTGTTAAAAGTTTAACTTTTAGTGGTTTCGTACGGAAAACCCATTAGTTGGGAAAACAAAAATCCGGCCTAACAGCCCTTGGCAAAATGCACCAAAGAAAACAAACACCTGAAAACCGGCCCACAGTGAGGTGAACTCGGAGATACGGTTTTCAGGATCAAACCCTTTGAGAACTGCAGAAAAAATCGGTGGGGACGGGGGCAGACTCTATCCCGCAAACGCCATATCCTGTTCCCCGTTGGCCATATGGGACCGGGTTAGGGGGTGCAGCCCTTTTGAAGGAGGCTTAGTTAAACCCAAATAATCCGCTTGGAGTGCTGTTTGGAGGCTTTCCGGAGTCTTCCCAGAAAGCCTTGTACAAGAAGGGCGCCAAATCCGAGCCAATTAGAGGGGTTCTTGAAATGAAGCAACTCGACTGTCTGAACGAAGGCTTCTCAAAATCTAATAGCCCTTTTTCGTATCCATTCTCTGTCATGAGGTCATCCGGCTTGTTCAACTCGGCGCAAAACGAAACAGGTCCAAAAAGGAACCAGGGCGATGGGGGGAGGGTAGGGGTAGGGTGCCTAGCGGCTACCGGGATAAATCTGAACACCGCCAAAAGCTTCCAAACGCCAAGAGGAAAGAAAACGCTTGCTGAAAGCAACAGTTTTTGAGGGCAATCTTCTTGCTGATTCGATAGGCAGGGAATGAGAATTGGAATGACCCCGAGATAACCCATCCCCTATGGTTTCCTTTACTCTGGAATCCCCTTGTGGTTCATTCCCAACACCTTGACTCGCTCATTCCCTAGCTCTCGCACCAGCAACTTTCACCTTTGCACTGCGCCTCCCCAGCGAAAACCCGGCGGTTGTGAGACGATCTTTTTCCTGAGCGAAGCTTCGCTCAGTCCGTCTGCTCCATGAGGGCTACGAATTCATCGAAGGTCAGCTCCGGCATTTCGCTCCTGGGGAACAGCCATCCGGTTTTGCTACCCTCTTTCTGGTGGATTCCTGGTTGGGAGATTGAGGGATGCGTTTACTTTTGCCCTCAACAAGAATCCCAAGCTTACCTGAGCCATATGGCAAAGAATTATAAATATGAATCCTGGGAATACAAGATCGTCAGGGGACTTTTGTGTCACGTTTAGAACCCCTTGCACGAGAAGTTGATTGCTAGATGTCGGGATTTAGATTATTGAGACTTCAACACCACACAAGTCTGTTAATTGGATTGTATAGAAATCTAACGCAAGCCAAATTCCGGGATTCAAAATACAAATTCGGACGTCTCAGAGTCTCAAGGTGACCATTGGAGGTGAAAGAAATGTTGGATCCTTGCCAGATTTTCATACTTGATTCTCGGAATGCAGAATTCTAAACTTAGTAGTGTTTCCACTACCAACAGAAAATGGGGGTCTGTATCCTACGGGCACTACATGACCACTATATACGGCTTTTCTTCCCATTGTCCCTTCGGGGTGATTTGGGGGGAGTGGACACCCTCTTAGATACATCCTGAAATTCAGCAAAACAAAATCAGCGGACTTTGATTTGAAGGGCCAGGGGCTTCCAAAAGGGGCAAACAAGCATGGTTTCGCGCAGCATGGCTGGTTTACTTGCCAGAAGGGCTATTGGGTTCTGCATAGCGATGGCCCAGAGGACGCGGGGCGCGAGGCGCGAGGCGTTAAAATCACTTATCTTGCAGGTTCCCTTTGAAACCAACAGGGGAGACTCAGAAAACAACATATTAAGCAGGTCTCCCCGAGCCGGTCGAAAATGTCAGAAAAATCAAAGGCGCGGTGACCGTGGTGACTCGTCTGGGCGGTCCTCAGGTTCCCTGCTGAAAGTTTTACTCGTGGGTTAATTGAAACTACCAACAAACTAACCAGAAACCACTAATTAAAAACATAAGGAACCGGATGCTGGGAACCACCAATTCTCTAAAAAGAGTGGGAAGCGCCTTCCGGTGCTAAAAAACCTCGACCAAGCTTGCCCGATGCAAATTGGAACGAGAAAAGCGAGTGCGTGTTTGAGGAACTTTCATGGGAAACAAGCGCCCTCTTCATTTTTGGTAAGGAGAGCCTCTTTAGTTTCGGTTGCTGATTTAGAGGGGAACCCTCCGAAAAAAAAAAAAAAAAAAAAAAAAAAAAAAAAAAAAAAAAAAAAAAAAAAAAAAAAAAAAAAAAAAAAAAAAAAAAAAAAAAAAAAAAAAAAAAAAAAAAAAAAAAAAAAAAAAAAAAAAAAAAAAAAAAAAAAAACAACAACAACATGAAAAACACACACAAAAAAACAGCAATCCACCGGGTGTCTGCGATTGGCTTTCCAAGGCCGGCACGTCTCTGACTGCCCTCCGACCACCGCGATTTCCTATCGACTTGCATTCGGACCCCGCGGAAAGCCCGGCCCAACATGGGCGCCTTTTTTGGTGGTACCCCTTTTTAGGTGTCTTACCCCTTAAAAGTCCAAGCCCTGGGAGAGGTAAGGTGTGTTTTAAAGGGAAACCAAAGGACAATTGACATTTTGGAAGGGCCCGAAGAGAAAAGACACGCCCCAATGACTTGCCTCACGTGGAACAAGGCGAGTCCTTTGGTTTTCCTTGACATTTTGGTGAGTCCCTTCTCGTACCTGGACCATAGACTGAGTTCTTAGGCCAAGCTCGCAAATCTAACCTAGGAAGCCAGAGGCCCCAGGAATGGTCAGATAGAGAGATGGTGTGACATGTTTATGGTCTCGTGCAAAGATGGCCAAAAGACCTTCTGCATTCTGGTCCATGCGATCCTCGAAACATAATAAAACAAAGCACCATGTGGGTCTGATTTTTTTTGGCGGGGTGAGGCGTACAGAAGGGATAGCGTAAACAGGGTACCTCTGGAATGTGGGAATGCCGTTGCTTTGCGAGGGTGAACCACACACCCAACTTGGGGCGTGCTTTTCGGAGAAACCAATAGTAAACCATCCGTGGGGCTCCCACATAGGGACAAAGCCATTTGAAGGAGTTCCACATCGCAAAATGTTCGATACAACCCAAGAAAAAACACCCGATGACCAACTAGCGTGGCAACAAATGTGTCCTGATGGGCTGTAGGCCAAAGCACTACGTCAAACAATTTGTCAGGTGTGTTCAGCATGCTGCAAGCATTCCAGTGGACTTCAGGACCCTATTTTCAACCTGTGGTTTGTCTCTGGGTGTTGACTCCAATTGCGTTTGGGTTTCTGAGGTGGAAAGCCAACCCCCACCTCTGCTGCACAAAAGGAAGCTGGACTCAGAAGCGCAGTGGTCATGTTCTTCAACAAGGGCGACCTCTTTTATAGCCCTTCTTTCTGTCGGTCAAGCTCCAGGCAAAACCCACTCCCAAAAGAAAGGAAACCAGGGTGCCTCTGTTCAATTTGGCAGAACTACAAAAAGGCCTTTGTCCAAACACTGAGCGCCTTGCCAAACCACATGTGTCATTGCATACTTCCGCCGCCTAGGGGCGGGTATGAATAACAAACCTCACAGAAACCAGTTTGAAGGGAACGGATCTGCAAACTTTGCTATACTCCAGTAGCCACGTGAGAAAAAGGGCATTTCTTGGTTGCTTGACTTTTAAAGGGGAACCCTTCCCCAAAAAACGAAGAAAAACACAGGCACCACTGGGCAAATGTGGCTATACATCCCAAAGCTGATCCAAGAAAACCGGATCCCCCAGTAAAGCACCTTCCTGCTTTCTGTGGGTGTTCCTTTTGCCCCCCGGATCGCTCAGCCCGCCATGAAAAATCTCTACATAGGCAGAGCTTAAAACCGACCAAACAGCTAAGGACCTAAGGAACCACTAACTCGTCGGGCGCATCCTGTTTCTTTCATGGCGAGTTCGACGGTCCAGGTAAGATGGTTCTTTTGTGTTCTGCCAAAAAAATAGCGGCCCGGTTTGCTGTTGTGCTCTCTTACATGCCAAAAGGCAGCAGGTCCACCATTTAACAGGGGAAAATGGGCACTCTGTTTTCGTGGTAGTTCTTTCCTGTTGACCCCAGATCCAAGCAGGACGAGGACATTAGTCCATGGTCAACACTAAAAAGGAGATCAAAACAGGGTTGTGGCTACAAATTGAAACACGTTTCTCGTTTCCATGATTCAAAGGAAATCATAATAATCATGATTTGCCTGCCTGCCACTCAGACTCGGTGATGGCATTGCACATGACGCTCTTCACGTCCTGCAAAGTTGTCTAATGTTGGCCCCATATTAATCAACCCCATTTTATTAATATGGGGGGGTGTTCCCCGCCAAAAGTGATGATCCCCCACATTTCACCCAGGGTCCCCCCCACTAATAAGCTGGGGTTGATTCGTTGGTTCATATGGGGTCAACATTACCCAAAGCGATGGAACGCATCCAAACGCCGGAGATCCGCACTTATGTTTAGGTTTCTCTGTTGCAAATCTTCACCTATCTGCGTGTTGATGGTGGCTCACAAGACCTTTGAATTGAGAGCAACGACCGCAGTTCAAACCCGTTTAGCGAACGATCATGATCATTTGCTTTGCCTGTGAAACACCTCTAGCACCACGTTTGCCCAATAGCCCCCTTTCAGTGCTTTTTTTTTGTTTGGGGGGGGCACCTCGAAAGAGGCCTGACGAAAAGAGTGGTACGTGGTGCACCAAACTGCGCTGGTCTGTGGAAAGTAGTTGGTGGCTCGTCCTCCAGCACGGAGTGCCGTTTCGCGAAACACGAAAGAGGCAGCCTTAGAAGAAGAGGAAGCTTGCCCCGAGTGCGCAGCAGGAAGAGTAGTATAATAGGCCAAAGGACATATGATGGGTACAAAACCAAATGAAGTCATGACCATGGAGAAATCTTGCTATATACAATAGAAAGTATGTGGGTGTGACGGCGTGGCTCCAAAAAATCGGGCCCAAATGGAACCCGGGTGGTGAAAGGAAAGTAGACCGAAACCTGCGGCCCCTTGGCTCTTACATGTTGACCCTCACCGGCGTGTGCCGCGAAGGTCCTAAAACAAGGGGTACACCGCAACATGCAGTAAGTCTGGTCTTCCAGTAGAGGGGTTAGAATTAGGGACCCATTTTTTCTGTAGTCTACTTTAGTAGGGGAATCCTCCCCGAAAAAAAAGGGTAAAAGGTCACTACTGGGACACCTAGAAGTCATGCATGGGAATCGAGAACAAAGAGGCTATGTATCTATGATTGCAATGAGATTGGCAGAGTCGAGTGTGCCTACCTGAATTTAGACCACTGCTAGCCATAGGGAAAAACAACAGGAAGACTACTTCAAGGCACCCACGAGGTTTGGCCAAAAGACCCCTCTGAACATTTGCTGTTGACAATACTTTTGCCAATGCTAGCTCCCTTCTCAGTCAAGGGTTGCCATGCCAGAAATCAACAAAACCGCTAGCCGGAAGCAGCTAATTTATTACCACAACTCGTCTTCCAAAAACAAAAGCACAACAAATGACAAGCTAGGAACGCTAGGAAAAGGTGAGGGTGCCCCAGCCTCCTGAACAACACAAAACCTGCTCTGATACAACCTGGCCCTCTCCAGCCCTGGAAACTAAAAAGCATGGCTGTAATTTCCTCAGATCCCCTGCTGAATTCTTAACTTGTGGGTTAAATGGAAACTCCCCACTAAACCCGGGGAAAAAAAACGAAGGAACCGGATGGCTGGGAACCACCACACTGGAGAGCCGGGCCAGAAATGCAGTCCTATCAGAATGCGGGATTTCCTCTGGACCTTGTCGACCACAAGGCAAGGAGGGGAGATTTTCCTCATTGCGCCTCGGTTGCTTTCTGCAAACCCCTGCTAAAAGTAACTAACTTTTAGTGGTTTAATACGGAAAACCCATTAGTTGGCAAAAACAATTAGAGTCCTAACATCCAAGCAAAGTGCACCTCTGCCTAGTCAATTGTCAATGGAACATGTCCTCCCGAATAAAAACCGCACCACTCCAAATGTGAGATGAGCTAACACCTCCAAACGGATGCGCGCACCCCGCCTGGTAGGTGATCTTGCCGATACCCTGCCTCAAGCAAATACGGACTTTCCGCAAGCCAAAGCCTCCAGACGTCGCCCGAAACCAAAGCAGTGGGTTCTGTGAGAAAAACACATATAACAACTGTTTCAATTGCAGAACGACAGGGCGACGCGTTGCGTTTCAAAAGTGGGGAAAGCGAGGGAAAGACAGATGAACACACACTGGGATGTCTGGGCATGTTTGGGGGTCTTAGCTTGTCCGGTGGACAAGACTTAGGGTCTCAAAGTTTGGGGTCTTTCATTTGTTTCTCTAATATCATTTATGTATACCTCGACCCTCAATTGACCAGGAATTGTTTGGCGTTTCTGTTGTCTTGTCGTTCCTGGGGGTTGTTTGGCGCTGAACCGCGTTCTTGAATGGACACCTAGGCGTGTTGGTGAAAACCCAGTTGCTCTTGTCGGGGATAAGTTTGCTTGGCCCGTCAAAACACACACACACACACAAAATGCTGATGACAACGCTGGAGCAGCGTGCGAGCCTGGGCGCCCAGATCTGGGCGGGGACAGCTGTGCCTAATGTTTCAAACCTTGGTTGACGTTGGAAGGGAGCAACAAATCTCAAATTTTAGCAGTTAAGTGGGAATTTCAACCACTAAACCACAATAAGCAAAAATGTAAAATGTTTCCCAACAACAACCATGGAACCGCCTGAGCTGCACCTTGTAGTCCTTCTGCATCGTACGAATGGTGAGGCTTAGTCCCAACACCCCTGAATGACAGGACCTCGGAATCCTGCTCAGTCTCCCGATGAAGTCTTCGTCGCTCCAGCACGCCGCTGCGAGTGGCGATACTGATGTGTTGCACGGTTGCGCAAGTTCATGCTGGACCTCCATCGCTAAATGAAGCTTGGGCCTCAACTTGAACCTTCGCTTGCCACCATGGGCCGCTTGCGCAGCCAAAATACTGCAGCCTTCCACAAGGCGCAGAGTTGGGTAAGGTGGGGTGGTGCAGTACATCTGTACACTGGACCTTCAGGCCCACCGTTTGAGGTGTTTCTTCTAGACATCTGGGGTTGCCTCTTGTGGGAAGCCACAATAGTAAAATGAGCGGTTTGCTTTGGGATTCCCTTGAGAGCCCAAAAATGGTACGAGTACCGTTTGAAAAACAACACCCCAAAAAATATCTTATTTGCCAGAATCAGGTTTATCATTACGAGGCAATATTATATTGGTTGGGGGGGGGGTCGGATCATTGTTCCATCAGAGTCACCCATCCATCCCGCCCCAGGGGACACCAAAAACGTCATGTTCTGATTATGCTTGACATTTAGACAACCTTACAAGATAAACTAAGATCGAAGCAGACCCTTGCAAGATTTGTCATGAGGGGAGCAAACATGTTGTAAGGAGCTAATGCAAAGCCGGCCGTGTCCTTTTTCCACTTGCCTTGAAACAAGAATCCACAAATGCGTGTGTCTTTTGTTGGGGATATCCTTGGCGTTGGTTTGAAGGGAAACCAAAGGGAACACCACACATTTTGAAACGTTCCTACTTTAAGACACAGCCAATGCTGCCCAAAATCAGACACATCTGAGGGCGTCTTTCTGTGGGGGTTGTTTTAAAGGGAAACCAAAAGGAAAACCTTCCCTCTCTCTTTTTGTGTGTGTGTGTCACCTAAAAAGACACTCGCATGCCCCCTGTGTTAAGCGGGAGGGGGGTGGCAGCTCCCCCAATTCCATTTATCTATTTGTCCCATAAAGGGAAAATGATGCAAGTACCGAGTGAAACAAATTGACATCCCATACCCTCCCACCAACTAACATGGAAGTGCAAAAAGGCCCTTTCCAAGAGGAAAGTAGTCTTTCTACAGGGTCTGTGCACTTCCATGTTAGCTGGTGGGAGGGAAAATACTCTGGTTTATCATTAGGAGGCCATATTGCTTGAAGGGGGGGAGGGGGGGTTGGGGGCGGGCGGATCATTGTTCCTTCAAAGTCACCCGTCCCCGAATACACCAAACAAGTTACAAGATATAAGCTAAGATCGAAGGAGACCCTTGCAATACTTATCGCGAGGGGAGCAAACACGTCTTAAGAAGCTAATTGAATCAAGAACCCACACATGGGTGTTTCGTTTGTTGAGGATACCCTTGGAGTTGGTTTAACAGGAAACCAAAGGGAACATCACCCATTGATGTTCCTTATTTAAGACACACGCAAATGCTGCCCAAAATCAGACACATCTGAGGGCGTCTTTCGTGTGGGGGTTGTTTTAAAGGGAAACCAAAAAGGACAACCATCCCCTTTTTCTTTTCTTTTTGGGGGGGTGTCACCTAAAAAGACACTCGCATGCCCCCTATGTTAAGCGGGAGGGGGGTGGCAGGTCCCCCAATTCCATTTATCTATTTTCCCCATGAGGCAAAATGACCGTAAAAGGAATCTCGGGGCTCAACCCCCCTCCCCCAATTCCACTAAGGGGATATCCTCTTCTATGTTTCCTTCTAGGGGAGGATTTTCCGAGAAAGCTTGTCGACACGCCCATCTGGGGCCCTTTGCTTGTCGAACTTCTTGAAGCACTCGAAGAGCTGCTGGCGATCGAACTTCACTCGTCGCTCGATGAGCGCGGAGATGAACTCCTCGAGGGCATTGGACATGGCGAAATCACCCGAGATGAATGGGAGTCTCCGTTTTTTAGTGGATTGAATTGTCGACTTGGTCTCCTAGAATCAGACAAAAGGGGTACCAACTCCAAATTAAGACACCCCCAAATGGTGGTTTCAAGGGAAGCTACCCCCAAGAATGGAATTTTGAGAACTGATAAAACTGCTCACTTTCGGGGGCCAGAAGGCAATCTAATGCTGAAGATCCCCAAACAAACAGAACTGGACGTATTGGGAGGTTGGGTTTGCAGGGATCCTTACTTTATACACCTGAACATTGCCTTGTAAATGGTGGTGTCCCTGTATTTTGGTGGAAAAAGCCATGTTTTAAATTACCAAAAGGTATCTTTTAAGGAGCCCTGTTTTGTCTATATGCTTGTGTGTGTCTAGTGTTCGTGACAAGGAGGTGACTTCATTGAGTCTGGATGCTGGGCACAAACAAAACGTGCTGGTGCGATAGGCAGGGAATGAGAATTGGTATGAACCCTACACACCCTCCAACTAGCGGTGTCCTTTCTTTGGGGGGCAATTCATGCGTGCAATTCACTGCAATTCGATACATCGTTGGAAGCACCAGTAATTACCCGCAACCCCGAGTCCAACGGATCCAAGCTAAGGGAACGCAGGGCAGAAGAAGCCAGCCAAAAAACAAATGACCGGCCCATATTTGTGAGCCTTAAAACGCAAACTGATTTCAATCAAGATCCCATCAAATACCCGCGCTCCGGTGTTTGCTTCTTGGAATCTAGCAAACATGTGCTATTTGAGGGTTTCTCGAAGCAGGAATCGCGCCCCCTAAACGGGTTGGTTTGCTTTTGTGCTCGCTTAAATTTACCAAACGGCGGCCACTTTTTAACATAGACCAGTGGGAAAAAATGTGCACGCTCTGTCTTGGTAGTTAAAACCAATCCAAGGGGAGCTTCTTCAGGGCTCCCCATATTTCCCCTTCAATCACGGGGGAGCTGACCTAGGTCCTTGCTTAAATCGACTTGAACGCAATAAACCCCTGGTTGATTTTGATTGGGAGGTGTTCCTTTTAGTGGGGTCTCAAACCACTTTCGAAGGGAACACCCCGCTATTAGTAAGACAGATTCTACTTGGATCAAGTGTCAACATCAACAGATCCCCCCTACCTTAAGGGGGAGGAGGTAAGGGGATCCCCTTCTCTAATCCTTCCCCATAAAAGGAATCATGGGTTACCAAAACCAGAGATCTCCAGGGGTCGAAATCCCCCTCCTCCAATTCCCTGTTTAAGGCCCAAGCAAAGGAAGCATGGGCACCACAGGTCCCTCACCCTGCTGGTGCGATAGGCAGGGAATGAGCCTATAAACCCTTCCCTATGGCTTCCTTTCCCCAGCAGGGAATGAGGGAACTTCGGGAATTCCCAGGTTCATTCCATGTCCCCACAGGTCCGTCAATCACTCGAACTCAAAGCAAAAACCTTTCCTTGTAGCCGATGCGTTGGTTTCCGCTGCCATCCAGGGCCGCCATCACCTGCTCAAGCTCCTTTTGGCTCATCTCGTAGCCTCGGAGAAAAAACAAGTCGAGGAAACGGGTTTGGCTCTGCGTGAATAAGGAGTCCCTACGAAAGATGCCTTCATCATGGATGACTTTGCAAACCTAGAACATGGTTTGGATTCGCATGTTTTTGTGGATTTCAAATGTTCTTGCCCCCCGGTTGGTGTTGTTTTTTTCTTTTGAATATTCTAGTACTCTTTTAATATCCTATAGAGGGGTGGATCCACAAGAGCCACATCCAACTCGTTTTCTAGATTCTCTGGTTCGTGTGAAGGGGGGCAACTCTTCCCAGGGGCCAAACCGCTCCAACCAATCCAAAGCGAACTGAAAAAGGGGGCGCACTTCTGATCGAGCGAATTGGCCAAAGAAAGTCTGAGCTTGTTATGCACCACTACACTTGTGTTCCCAAAGCGTATAAACTTGCTTGTGTCGGAAGGGGAGCAAAAAAAAAAAATCGGCAGTTCAGTGGGGATTCTCCACTAAACCACAATAAGCAAAAATGTAAAATGTTTCCTAACAACAACCATGAAAGGACCAAAACGCCCACCCAAAACCCGATCTGCACATCTTACTTTATGTCCAAACCTGAAAGCAATGTGGATCTCCAAGGACTATGGTGTTACATCGCGAGCTCGGCTTACCAACCAACAACCGCTGGAATCGCTCGGAAACCATAGAATACAAAGACATTTCACCGGAACCCTGGCTTGAAACACGACACCGTTCTGTGACACACCAATTTTGGCCAGCCCCATGACTGCTTTATCACTGCAACGTACTGTGGATGGACGCAATCCGTTCGCGCCACTTTGACACCATGGTTGAAACTTGCAATTGTTGTTTGTTGGTGTATAAAGGGGAATCAAATCATTCCCGGGTTTCTGAACGGCGGTACGCAATGGATTTTGCAACCGTCCACAGTATCATAGATGCTTGGTGAACCTTCAATCTCAAACCTAGGATTCGGCTAGGACCAATACGTGCATGTGCTCTTTCGCCCCCTAAAAACAGACAAAATACCTGTCCTGTAGTGATAATTCCCTTTAAAACTAACAAGTCAGCAAAAATAATAAAACAAATTTCCGAACATGTAAAAATATTTGGTCCACGAGGACTCACCGCCGCGGATTGACCTTGCAAACAGTCCAACTAAAATTCGAACTGCTTTGCCACTGAGTTGGCCATCCAACAGAGGTCACTGGATTTCCTCAGATGCCTAGTAGATTTCCGCGGGAAAAGAAGGGCATCCTTTTTGGGTTGGTTGACTTTAAAGGGGAACCCTTCCAAAAAAGAAGAAGCAAAAGGGCACCACTGGGCAACCGGATTTCCCAGCAAAAGTTGCCAGTCCAAAGTCCCCCACGTTTCGGGCAATGGCCTTGCCGCTGAGTTCCCGGCCCACGTGCCGCATTCCCTCCACCAGCTCCTGGGAAGCAAGCTCAATGCCAAAGCCAGAGGGAACTTGCACTTCCATTTGCTCAAGCCCCCTAGAAAAAAAACAAAAAAACAAAAACAAAACACATCCATTAGTAACAAATTCCCATTAAAACCGACAAAGGAACATATAAATACAATTTCAGCAAATGGAAGTTGATGTATAGGTTTACGGTAACTCAGGGGAGGCCAAAATTCCTGGCCACTTAGTCTGGAAATTGGAAGCATTGTCAAGTTGGCATGAACTCAGGTATCATCTTTGGAGGTGACCTTACATACACCACACATAGGTTTGTTTTAAATGCCGTACAAGCAAACGTACTGCTGGAAAGCATAACCTCCCAAACGCATGGAAATGAAGCCTGGGAAAGCTTCACCGCGGGGCCTTGCTACACATTTCCAGATCCGATTCCGCCGCGTTTGAAGGAAAACCACAAATGTGTCAGTCATATGGGTGTGGCTCAAATGAATGTACCAAAATAGCACCTTGGCAAATGGAAACAAAGACTAAACCTGCATAACCCTGGGTCTTTCGTTTTGAGCCACACCCCTCCCCCGTATTGGTATGAATATTTTTTGAACAAGGAGGCCCAAAAAGTTCCACTAATCACCGTTTTGCGTCACAAGCCAGTTGTGTTCAATCTGGTTTTGTTTGCTGGTTTCTGAAACGAAGGCTGCCTGGAAAGGATGGATTTTTTTTACTTCTAGGGAAGGTGTAAGGAGATTCCATCCATGCTAGCCAACTAACACCACAAAATCATCCCTTTTGCCATAAAGTTGCAACCTGGCTGGCCATGCACACATCGGTGGTTCTGGCATTCCACGTTATTAGACTGTTAACACAACATACCTATTGAGAGGAATGTCCTCTTGGGCGGAAGGCCAAAAGCCTCAATCTCACTTCTGATCGAATGAAGTGGCCAGAAAAAGTCTAAACCTTTTTAGCGCACTGCCAAAATGGTCTTCCCAACAAGCTTCAAGTCCAGGAATTTGGGAAGTGAGCAATCATGGAGCACACACACACACACACACTCGCACACACCAGGCGTTGATTTAATATCACTTCACGTTGACTCGGAGGACCGTACTCATCAGGGGAGGCTGCCCTTTTAGGATAGGAATTGATCAACCTTTCCGGGGTGTTGTCTGAGTAGTAGGGTCCTCGGGATTAATCCGAAGCCAACACTGATTTCTCAAACCTGAGACCGACCCAACAAACGGAGAAACGACAAACAAAAAAAAAACATGAGAAAAACACAAGCGCAAACGAGCCGCAACAAATACAACAACAGAAGCAACAACGGAAACAACAGCAACAACGCGACCAACGAAAACTAACGCAGCCAGCGGACATCAAATCAAAGTGGAAGTATCTCAAAATTAGGCGGCTAGCACATCCGGATAATGTACAAAACAAAAAAACAAAACAAAAGCAAACTAACCAACAGCAATTTCTGCACAATAAACACAACAGGGGCCCACGAGGCCAAACAATTCGATGTTGCCACCTGGTTTCTTGTTGCCATGTACGAGGCGATCAGATACCTGCCTGGACACTTGAAATACTAGGGAAAAATGATTAGTGCCTACAAAAGCATGGTTGGTGAACTCCCCTTTTTCTGGGTAGTTCGAGGGTGGTACTCCTTTTTATACAACTTAGGGGAACTTGGGTTGTCCGTTTTCGGATCTACGAAAAGTCGCTAACTTGTGGATACCTTGTGGGTGAATGTTGACCAAAAAGAACTGTAATTAGTAAACCCCTGTTGATCGATATGGGGGGCGTTCCTGGTTTCAGTGGGGATTTATCACTTTTGCTGGGGAACAACCCCATATTCAAAAACACAAGTTGACTAATCCCCTGTTAATAAACCCCGAAGAAGGGGTGGGAGCCCCTCCAAAAGTGATAAATCCCCGCCAAACCCAGGCAACCTTTATTTCCCAAAAGGTTAAGTCTAAAGATTCAACCCAATAGCAGTCAATCTGGGTCGCATGAACTTTCAGCTGGTTTTTCCTTTCGTCCGATTTCGGCCGTCTCTCCCCTCCTCCGGGGAGAGCAGGCCATCGCCCTGGGTGTCCAGCGCCATAAACTTGGCCCTCAGCTCCTGGCGGCGGCGGAGGGCTTCCATTGGCTTTATCCCGCCCTCTGGGCGAAACAAATATAACATATCTCGGTTGCGAAATCTGCAAACCCCTGCTAACAGTGACTAACTTTTAGTGGTTTACTACGGAAAACCCATTAGTTGGCAAAAAGTGGTTCAGTCCGAACAGCCCTTGGCAAAATGCGCCAAAGATATGGTCCAGTAGCGAGAACAGGGATCCGGATGCATTCTACACCTGAACATTGCCTTGTTCTTCTGGTGGAAGCCAGTGGCTTCCATTGGCTTTCACCCGCCCCCTGGGAAAAATGGGTGTGGCTCGATTTTTCTTAAGAGCCAGGGTTACGCAGGTGTTGGTCTTTGTGTTGGTCTTTGTGTCCACTTACCCAGGAATTGTTTTTGGGTACACTGTTTTTAGCCACAGCCAAATGGGGAACTATGTCCAGTAGTGACAAATGCCCTGCAAAACCAGCAAGGGACGGTAAACCATACTCTTAAGCAAATGCAAGATGGAAAGCCCAAGAATCTAGGCAAAGCTTCCATTTCCATGCTTTCCAGAATCTTTTCAGAAAAGCCTCAAAAACGTGAGGGGAAACAACCGGTTTGTGAAAAGAACGATGGTTGAAAAGAATGGTTGGAATCAAACCCTAGAAAGAAGCCCGATCCGAACACTTCCTGGTGCGAAGTAGGGAATGAGAAATGGAACAGACCAGGCCCAGGAGCTTTGGTCCCCGAATAAAAGAAACCAGCAGTCAGAGGGTGTTTCAAGGGGTCGTTCCAAGTCTCATTCCCTGCCTCTTTCGCACCAAGAAAATTCCGATCGAGCCCATGAAGCCCGTGATCAGCGCATATGTTTTGCTTTTTGGGGTGAGCCGTGGGACATAGGGCATAAGGCAAAAACCTGAATGGCTGGGGTGTGTTTGGGAGGCTTGGTAGGGTTCGTGACCTTTGAAACCCCGAGAACCCAACCACACAGCCTGAGGGGCCCACAATAGAAAACACATTTCCTATGAGCAGAAAGGGCGCCTCTCGCTGATAGCGTGAACCCTCTCAAAAGGGCACCGCTGGCGACTATGTTGGTATTAAACACTTGACGCGCACGTCACAAATGCAAACACACGAACACTCACACGCACACACATGGCTTGTCTGGATTTGGTTTTCGGAGCCCTGTGCAACCCTCTGGAGTCCTTAAGGGTCCCTCACCTGAGAATGTGCTGGGGGTCAAAACGGGTCAAAGTACCTCCACAAGTGCTTGCGTGTGTCTTTTGTTTGACTTTACCCCCGCTTTCCGTGCTTGTTGATGGACTCCAGGCGGAAAGTGTCGTCTAAATGAATGGTTATCTTTGGGAGGGTGACCCCCCAAATGGTGGTGTTCCTTTTGGTGCCTAGCATTCCGCATTTTCTTTTGCGCCCGGCCCAGGCAATTCGCTGGTATGTGCACATGTCCGCCCAGAGCCCGGAATACAGATCAGATGCGGATTTGGGGGATCAGAATCCATGGTTGGCCAATCCTAGCGCATGCAAGGTCCTGAGCAGCACGGTAATATATATTGAAACATGCGCACTCTAATGATTTGGATGACACCTTATCATGGCCATGAACCACGCCGGGCCGATTCAAAGGGCATGACCTGGTGCACATACTCGCACAAGTGCACCCTCGGTTTGGCATGCAGCTTTTTATTATGCATCGATATTTGCATGCACATTTGAAATTCACAGAATGATCGATTGATTCTCATGCTGCAAAGGTTCAGCAAAGGCGGCAACCCCATAGCCAGCAAGCAAAGAACTTCAATCTTGGACAGCTTGAGGCTCTCGTGCAGCCGAGGGTTTGGCAACCCATCAAATTGCGAGGGCATGGGTCGATCCATGATCCATATCTGCACGCGCACGCGTGGGACCCAAAATGCGCGAGCAAACTAGAGACCGGTCCCTGACAATTGAGGCCTAGAGCCAACCTTCGTGGAACTATTTTTACTCATGAATGATGATGCATCCCTGCAACCAATGCAGCAGCGAACTGGATTGGTGAATCAACGTCTACATGTGCATATGTTTCAATCATGCCATGTTGACATGATCATGCAAACTCATGATATCGTAAAATCGAAGACCTTGTGCACGTCTCTTTTTGCATCCCCCGTGTCCATTGACTGGGGATCTGGTTTTGACAAGAGTCCGGAAATCATGGAAACACACAGACATCTCCAACTGGGCAGGAAAAAAGAGATGTAAGATATATATATATATATTTATTTTTGAGAAAAGCTGCAAACCCGCGATTCCTCAATAGATTGGCCCACGCAAGTTTGAGTTGTTGCTCCCCGCCCAGAAAGAACCAGAAGGCCCAGAAACTGGGGGAAAGTGAGCCAAACATGAAAATTGGTGATGTGTAGCCTTGAAACATTGTGCGTTGCTCATATGAGACGCAGCTTTGTATCGCCTCTTTGGGGCTGGGAAAATGAGTAGGTAGCCATGCACCCCCCATGTCCAAACCCAATCAGCAATGGACCACTGGATTATCTTCAGGGGGAGGGGGGTGCGGCCCACTTATCTATTTTCCCCATAAAAGGGAGAATGAAGCCATGAATGGAATTCCAGGGGTCACCCCCCTTCCCCCCCATTCCATTTTTAAAGGGCTGGGGATATACTGGATTGTCTGACCGAACCTAGGGGTGTATCAACCCGTCAGAGACCGAAACGGCACGGCCAGACGGCGCCTGTATTTGGAATTCGCTGAGCTCGCGGGTGAGCAATTGGAGCACCGCGCGCTTGAGCTTGTTGTAGGCCTGACCGCGGTGGGTAATGTGACCCCATATTAATCAACCCCAGTCCATGGTCATTGGGGGTGTCCCTGGGTTGAGTGTGGAATCAGGCCACTTTTGGAGGGAACCACCCCCCGAGTAATAAACTGGAGTTGATAAATGTCGGGTCACCCTTTGGCCGTAAGGCTGGTTGGAAGCCCCGACTTTCGGAGAACAAGTGATTCTCGAAGTGTCTTGGACCCTGGTTTGTCTTCAGCGGCCTCAGCGCCCGAATGGTGAAATCTTGAAGGCCGCCGCCCAAGCTTCAAACCAGCGTCCAGTATGATTCCTAGGTATGCCTCGCCCAAGTCCCCCTTCCCACATAGACCAAAGAATCGACACAACCAACAACACACTTGTTTTTTTGCTTGTGGGAGTATGAATCGGGGTTTGGTTCGGGGGTATGGTGCGCCCAGGTCCCACTTCTACAGACCCATGTTTTCCCTGTCAGACTGACCGGTTGAACCTCATCACTTGGATCTTGACTTCACGGCCTGGTACTGCTTGAGCCCATCGAAGATGGACACCTGAGCCGGAACGTCACCGAAACGTCGCCGAGATGGCGGGAAAAACAAAAACAAACAACTTATGTTGAACCAGGTTTACACTGAAGTGTACACCACAAAACTCTTACAACTTCAACCACAAACTGATGTTTGACCAGGTTTAAACTGCAAAACTGGTACAACTTCAACCTCTTTGACTAGCGCCAGTGGCTGGTGTCGTAGCTCCACGCCTTTTGCCCCCACTGGGTGCAGCGACTTGGGCAAAGATGAAGTGTGGTTGTGGTAGGCTCACTTCTTAAGTGGATTGGCCCAAAAAGACACCAAACAGATTTGGCTGTGGCTCAAATAGATGTACCAAAATGGCCCCCTTACATGGATTCAAAGACTGACACCTGCGTAACCAGCACTTGAATTTTGAGCCACACCCGTTTGCTTGCCGCTCAAATTGAAGGGTCTGCCCCAGCTCAAGTTCAGGAAACTCAGAGCGGAAAGATGGACATGGATGGAGATAGCCCGGTCTCAAAATGAGTCACTTGCTCAACACCCGCTATTAGAAATGGTCGACCCAGAGCCATGTAAAGAACTAGGAAGCCGGGATTGTCCCTTACCAACCGGATCACTTACCCGGGTTTTTTGATTGTGTCTCAAATGGGTAATCCTCTCGTTTGATGGATGGAAAGGGACGCCAAAGGGCAAACAACCCTTTGTCAGAAGCTGCATACTTGGGGGCGGGCATTCCCACAGGAAGCCATTTGGGTGCGTATTTTTTGGGGATCCCAAAATGGTGTTCCTTTTCGGCCTCTTTACAACCAACTGAAAGGGGTACCCCTAAACAACGACATGCCCGTCTAGTCCCTTGCGAGAAAATCCGCACATCGTCCATGGACTGACACAAACTGGTCTCCCTCTCTTGAAGTGCAACAGAAAACCCGTCAAAATGCCCGTTTGACTTTTCCAACGCCGTGACTACTATCTAAGCTATGACTACTCCGTTGCCTTGAAGTTGCAATCGAGTTGAAGTCACTTGCTTCGCTTTGTCTATGCACATGAAACATGTGAGTCACAATCAAAACCCGGTATTAAACTGGTCTACCCAGAACCATGTAAAGAATTTGGAAGGCGGATCTCCGCAGCTATTTCTGGCAAGGGGATCGTCCCTTGCTAACCTTCATCTACCCGGGTTTTGATTGTGACTCATGTGCAAAGAGAGGAGGAATTCACATGGGAGGGTGCCCATACCAAAAAAAACAACCACCCATTTTGGGGAGGTCGAACATTAGACAAAGCGTGCCCGAAGCTGGACACACATGTGACTGGAAGCTTGAAAGCACCCTAGGGTTCAACCCCCAAAAGAATGGTTCACCCAATCGGGATGATGAAAACCCTTTGGTAAACAATGGTGGTTACATGATTTTTAACGGTGCTTTGAACCGCAGGGAACAGCTTGAAGGTTGTATTTTTGCCGCGACCTGGAAAAGCAGAAGGAGCACATGTGATTCGGGACTAGCTTGCCTTTTGTTTCGTGTCCTGCTTGCCAATAGTCTAAGGTTTTCCTATTGCACCCTGGGATTATGTAGGGACATTTCTCAAAACAATGCAATGGACATAGGCGAGAATAAGGTGATTCCCCAGAGGGCGTAATCCCAGGGTGTATTTTTTTAAAAAAACCTTGGAAATGGGGGGGGGGGGGGTAGAAAAAAACACAACACAACCCTTGGCTCGTATTTTTGACCCCAACCTGTTCTGGATTGAGGCACAGATTTATGGTTCAAACGAAGTCTGCAAACACATCTCAATTCCGGCGAGCGCATGTTCGACCCCAAAGGCAACACCCAACACGCATGATTCGCAACACAAAACACGGTTGAGGATATATTGAACTCCCCGCACCCCACTCTTCCCCGGAATTTGAGGCGAACCCGCGGCTTTACCAGGGACTCCGTCCAAACCGGACGGAATGCCCGGAGATGTCGAACGATTTCGCGGGCGAAATCCAGCGAGCGATTCGGCGGCTTCGTGGCTTCTTGGTCGCCCGGGGCGCCCGGCGCTGAGACCCTCCACGTTGCCAAAGGGCGAGGGCTTGCTGGGGTCGCGGAACCTTTGAGGCGCGTTAAAAACTGGCGATCGGGGCTCAAAAACCAAGCAATTCCAAAACGGCCAGAACCCTGGTAAGTGGAAACATGGGTACCAAAAGCTGCGGTTTGCCCCTCCTGTTTAATTTTGAGCCACACCCAACTTGCGATCGCTGCGTGAGATGCAGGGAATGAGAAATGGAATGCTCCGAGAATGCTCCTCTTGCTGATTCTCGGCAGGGAATGAGAATTGGAATGACCCCTACACCCCTTGTGGCTTCCCAAGGAAGGGAACCCCTGGGTTCATTGCCGCATTCCCGGGATACGGTGGGCAACGACCCGAGTTTCCAGGTTGTGGGCATGCGATCTTTGAAGAAATTCTTGCTGATGCGATAGGGAATGAGTCGACATCAACCGGGTCCGCTTAAAGGAAACCACCAGTTGCATGGATTTTCTTTGGGGCATTCCAATTCTCATTCCCTGAAGAGCACCAGCAAGTAAAGGAAGCCATAGAAAATGGTCTTTCTCGGGGTCATTCCAATTCTCATTCCCTGCTGAGAACCAGCAAGAAAATATCCGATCAAGGGAACTGCTGTGGACGAAATCCTGCACCGCTTGGGATAGATGAAAGCCTTTTAATGGGATAAAAACCACCTACCAACCTAGCAGCATCACCCATGGAAGCTGCTTGAGGGGAACCCTGAAAAAAAAGAAGAAGAAAAAACGTTCGGCAACTCGAGGTCGAATCGACCCCCCCTAAAAAGGTAAACTTAGGAAACCCGAAGTCTCCCAATTTACCAAATTGAGGTCTGGTTGGGTATCAAAAATGTCGCGAATGCGCAAGGGCACCAGAAAGGGAAACCAAGCGCCAAGGTCCAAATAGAGGCAATCTTGTAGCCCCGACATGTGATGCGAGGAAGGACATGGGTGTCTCAAAATGCGGGGGTTTCCCCGATATGGTTGGTTTCCTCGTGACTTCCTTCAAAACAGGACACACCCACATGAACCATCTCTACTCTTGGTATGGTGGCGAAAAACTTGTTTTTTGCAGACCCCCAGTAAAAATGAACAGGACCAACAAAAAAAAAAAAACATGCCAAGAACAGTGAGGTGAAGAAAAGGACTCGAAAGCCAAGAAGGGTTCGTTTGGACGAGACATTTTGGGCCCCACCTTTTCTTCCCCCAGGCCGACGAAAAGAAGCCTTCATGACCCTAAACCAAGGGACCTGGAAACATATCTACCTCAAGTTCCACCTTGGTTTCCTCCCAGACCCCAGGGACTCCGAAGGCCTGAGTTACGGCCGTTGAAGCACGGGTTGGTTTTTCTACGGCCTTCTTACGGGGTGTCTACGGCCGTTGACCAAAGGCCTAAGGTACTCAGGCCGAAGCTCTGGGGACCCACAGGGCCCAAACCGTTTGGAAACCCGTGCAGTTTGGCGTAGGCGTGAAATACCGGATCAAAAATGGAACACCAAACTGAAGCGAAAAGACCTGGCACGAAAAGGACGCCCCTGTTGGTTGGTCGTTGATTTTAACCAAACCGCAAGTTGAACGAAGGGAAGCAACCCACCGGGTGTCTGGTAAACAAGGATGCTTTTGGAGATCATGAAGACTCCAGGTAAAATACCTCTTTTGCACCATCTTTAAAACAAATTCCGGAAAAAAAGAGTACCGAGCCTCCCAAAAACAGTCCTGGTAAAAAACAAAACAAAAAAGTACCCAACAGCCAGCTGGCAACCCCTGGAACTCTCTGCAACCCTCCCTTTAAACCTAGGTCCTCCAGATTCGAGAGGTTAGAAGAAGGGTACCAACTGCTTTTAGGACGTCAATTTTAGTAGGGGAACCGAATAGAATATCCCAACCCAAAAAGGGGAGAGAAAGGGCACCTAGCTGGGGGACCTAGAAACTGCTCTGAACAGAGCCCGTCTGGCCAGAGACACCGGAGCTTTCAGCCGAGAAAAGGAGGGCAACCCGGTGTCTGGGGAAAAAATGGGTGCTGTAGATCCCCAGCAAAAAGTTGTTTAACTTTTTGCTGCTTAAAGGGAAATAGGAAGGGAATCCAAAAAGTTCAAGTCCAAAGATCCGACCCAAAAGCGGTAGAGACAAGGGTACTATACCATAGCCCTCTTAAACCATCGGAAAAAAAGAAGAAACTAAAACACCAAAGAGTCGAAGGTAACTACCTTTCAAGGAGGTACTTGGAACCCTTTTACACCCCAGTCATTACCCCCCAAAAGAAAGGTCTGAAGACTTCAGCCCCTGGGCGCAGACGCCGTAGCTTGCCGGGGAGAAAAGAAAGTGGTGTTTCATTTCTTTGGGAAATGGGCGGTATCGAAAGAGAATGGGCGAAGAGAGTGGGGAATCAACCCCGTGTCTTCCCCTAGCATGCCCCCTGTTTGAAGAACTCAATTGTGGGAGTCTTTCAAGATGCCTTCTCAGTCGAAGAACATCCCTGTTGATTTCCCGTTACCACAAAAGCTCCCCGGAGACCATGGGGCTCATGATGTTCTTAATGGCGAGCTTGGGTTGGCGAACATCTGACGACACCAACGGGTCCCCAAAAGTCATAACCCGAAGAGGGGACCCGCCCAACTGCTGGTTTTGCTTTTTGGTCCTAAACCCTAAACCCTTTTGGTTTCCCTTCAAAGCCATCCCGGTTACCCTCAAAAGAAACAAGCCCACCGAAGGATGGCAAAACGAGCTGGCGATCCAATGGCTCGCATAGCTTTGGCTTTGGAGTGGACTCATTCGCCCAAAGCGAATCGACCGGAGCTAAGCCTTTGGTTTCCTTGATTTGGTCCGTCGAAAAGTCAAGGTGCCAAAAGCTCAACTCTCATTGCTTCTCTCGAATACCGTTGTTAGAGCCGTTGTGTACCGCAAAGGGATCCCAGATCAACCTCCGGTCACAGAAAGAAATTGCATTTTTGAGGGGGCCCAGTAAAGATTCATAGGGCCTACTAAAGAAACTCATTGACACCCTTAACCTTATCGGGGTTCAAGTTTTTTCTGCAAAGCCCTATGAATCTTTGCTGGGCCCAAACAAGTGCTATTTGGGGCCATGACTAAACATGGTTGTGGGTCAAAACCACTGGGATTCCATTTTTGGGTAAGGCACCACCTATTCTAGTCTACTTTAGTGGGGATTGGGATGTTCACTGGGGGTACGGGCTTTTCACCCATGGCGAAATGGGAACCCACAAGGGAAAGCCCAAACATCATTTCAGGTCGATTCGCCTTGGGCAGCTCAGTCTATCCAGTGCTCCCCTCCAAAAGTGGTCTGATTCCCCACATTTCACCCAGGGGTAACCACCACCCTTATCAAGAAACCGGTTGGTTGACCAAAAAAAAGAGTTAACACATAGGCTGAGTAAAGCTTAGGCTGAGTAAGTAACTAGGTCCTCCAGTAGAGAGGTTAGACTAAGAGTACCATTTTTTCTCAAGACGTCCATTTTAGTAGGGGAACCCTCCCAACCCCAAAAAAAGAAACTGTAAAAGTTGTCACTACTGCAAAAACCTAGGGTTGGTTGACCCCAAAAAGTGGAAGCGGCTGAGTAAATCGTAAAGCTTAAAGCCGCCCCGTCCAAACCAGCGAGCCATCCGCTCGAGCGAGCGCCCTCCGCTCGAGCGCGCGCCCTCCGAGCCGAGCGCCGGGCCAGTCGTGCGCCAGCGCCTGTGAGGCGCTCAGACGATTCCTGGGGGACTTCTCCAGGAGCTTCCGGCCTTCGGAGCCCAGGAGCCCAGGACCCCAGAGCCCCCAAAAAGCATTCCCGGAGCCGACAAAGGCTAAAGCGCGTGGCTGACAAAGTGCGTGAAATTCAATTTGTGCTTGAGTGTTTGTGCTTCTGTGTGCCTGTGTCTGTTTGTGTGTGTGTGTTGTTCTTGTCCTTTATATCTTGTGTGTGTGTGTCTGTGTCTGTGGCTGTGTCTGTGCCTGCGTCCGTGTTGTTTGTTTTTGTCGATATTTTTTGTGTTTGTTACTGTGTGCTCTTTCTTGGTGTGTCTGTGTCTGTGTCTGTTTGTGTGTGCCTGTGATTGTGTGTGTTGCTTGAAAGGCAATCCAAAGGGGAATCCCATGAGTTGGCTTCCATGTTTTGAGACAAAGGAGCACCCAAAAAATGGATTTTCTGTTTTAGCCTCCCTCTAAAACCAGAAAACGGTACCCCCACACGACAGAAACCCAAACTGAGCCAACCAAACACCAGGAGCACGGTTCTCGAAAATGGGAAAAATCGGCCGAACTGAAACCGCAAGAAAAGTGTTCGACGGTCAAAGCTTTGGTCGAACCTTCACATGTTCAAAGGAACCCCTGGAAACTGTTTGGCTTCGGTGCTTTGGCTACATCCATTTGCTTGAGCGCTCTGGCGTGATCGACGCCCTTTCAACAGGGGAAAAAGAACATCATGGAAACCGAAAAGTTAGCTTGCGCTTTAGGAAGGTGAAGTGCCACCCGAAAAGTTGGCATGAGAAGCTGGCAGTTGAAGTGAGCCTGTGAAAGTTGGTCCTGAGAAGTTGGCAGGTGAAATTTGCAGCCGCTCTTAGAAGAAGAGCCCTTCGCAAGGCTTCTAGGAACAAAAACCTAAAACAATGCCAGCAACAGTGAAGCTACATTGACCCCTTAGCCGTTGGGAACAGATTGTGGGCTGGGTCGTGGGGTTTGTCTCCGGTCGAAGCAAACCGATATCTATAATACTATAAGAGGAAGCCATTACCGCTTTGGGGGCCGCCAATGTTCCAATCAAGCCGCCAAAAGGCCCTTGTTCCATAGGTCCAAAAACACCGTCCGGATCTTTACCAGGTCCAGTTGTCGGCCCTTTGGCCATTTTGCTCACAAAGAAGCAACAACCCGGGTTGCAAAGGATACCCTTACTAACTGACTCATTCGGCGGCCACCCTTGCAAATCGACACAAATCGCATGAAACTAGGTCGTCCGACCCTCCAAGCTGACTAGTGCTATTACTACAAGTACCACTACTAGTACTACTACTCGTACTACCACTAGTACTACTGCCAGTACTACTACTGGTACTACTACAGAACCTACTACTAGTACTACTGCTACTTGTGCTACTGTACTACTACTAGTACTTCTACCAATAGTACTAGTAGTAGCACTAATAGTACTAGTAGTAGTACTACTACTAGTACTACTTCTAGCACTACTTCCAGTACTACCACGAGTACTACTACTAGTAACTTGTACTACGTACTAGTACTGCTTCTAGTACAACTAGTACTACTACTACTTGTACTACGACTACTACTTACTACTACTAGTACTACTAGTACTACCAGTACTACTACTAGTACTATTACTAGTACTACTACTAGTACCACTAGTACTACCAGTACTACTACTAATACTACTACTACTTCTAGTACTACGACTGGTACTACCACTAGTACTACTACTAGTACTACTACTTGTACTACTGCTACTTGAACTACTTCTATACTAGTATTACTACTACTACTACTGCTACTACTACTACTACTACTACTAGTACTACTGCTACTACTAGTGCTACTACCACTAGTACTACTACTACTGGTACTGCTACTGCTACTACTACTACTACTACTACTACTACTACTACTACTAGTACTACTACTACTAGTGCTACTACTACGAGTGCTACTAGTACTTGCGGGGAGTTTCGAGGTTCTCTGTAAAACTTCCATTGTTTGGATGGATTGACATGGATGACGTCTGTACTACAACATTTAAACAAAACACGCTTCTGTTGAAAAGGGCTTGTTGGCACATGGGACCCTGACGATATCTTGAAAAATGTGGTTCTTGCCGCAAAACTATGGTTGGCGAATCCCTTGTTTCTGAGCTGCCCTCAGCTCCCCCGCTAAAAAAGCAACTTTTAGTGGGCTAAATGGGAAACCCACTAAACACTAAAACGCTATCAAGCTAAAAAGCTAAGGAACCGGATGGCTGGGAGCCACCAAGTTTTTATGGGCCGTTTCAGAGGGTCCCCCTTTTACGGGGAGGGCCTGGCGACGGTCTGCTCGGACACTGGGCGCCGTGCAAAGGTCGCAAGCCTGTGGGGAGACCTGCTCCCAGATCTCCGGAGGGAACCTATTGGCGATTTGTCGCGAGGGCGAGCGCCTGCTTCTCTTTGGTCAAGGCCCCCTGGCAAAAAATATAGGTAGCTCCAGTAGTGACGGTTTTCCTGTAAAACCAACAAGGGGAAATATACCGTATTATTTTACCAATGGAAGCCTATGGCAAGCTCCAAGGAACTCGAGAGGGATGAAGAATCGCTCAAACAACAATCGCCCAACCAGCACCGTTCCAAGAGAACATCCCAGCTGTTTCAGCCAAACACTTAAAGTCCAGCAAGCACATAACCATTGACATTGGCAATCAAGCAAGCAAGCAAACCGTTAACAAGCCAGCAAGGAAACAAACATCCAAAGATCCGCTACCAAATAGCCATATGCATAAATATGTTTACCACAAAGATCTTGAATGGTTCATAATAACTCACAGATCGCAAATCAGCTCATTTACAATCGCCTCGGCAGGCTGGCAAGCAACTGCAGCAGGTCCCAGTTTCTCCACAATAGAAACCAGCATATCGTCCGTCACTGAGTTCATTTCACACCGCATTGAGTGTGTAAAATCCCTGGGGTTCTAACCACCATTAAAACAATGGGGGTTCATATAACCACCATTATTTACCTAAGGATTGTCATCATCCAAATTGGGTGGTACCATTCTTTTAACGGGGGCTAAACCCTACAGAAATACTGTCTTTCCGCTCGGCGGGACTGGCTCTTCGTCGCAAACTTCTATCATGCTGCTTGAATCTCCGGTCCTGCTGGCCTTTGACTGCTGACGACATTCTTAACCTCTCACTCTAGAAACCGTTTTGGATTCGCGCCTTTTGTGGATTTCACCTTTCTTTCCCCCTGTTGGTCCTTTTCTAGTAATCTTTTAGTACTCTTTTAAGCTTCTACAGGGGTGGAACCACAGATTCGCCACATCCAAACCGTTTTCTAGACTTACAGCTAGGTCTTTTTCCCCGGCTCGTCTCACCTGCTTTTGTCTGGTCTCACTTTCGAACGATCTGTTGCGGCCGACCCGCGTTACGCTGCAGGCCGCTTCGGGGAAGAACAAAACCAAAGGAGAGCCCCTTTGAAGGAATGCATTTTGCAAAACGGAGTACAGCTGGAACATCAACCCGACACGGCTAGGCTGGTTTGCGAAATCCTGCTTTGGAAATTATCGCTTGGGGAGTTGTCCTCTAAGCATAGAAGCTGACAGAAGAACAGGCATGCGTCCAAGAGGAAAAACCGGGGCTGCTCCAATATTCTAGGGCGGAAAAAATGCCTTTTTGGGGGGACGTAAGCGTCCCAAAGTTCCCGTCTGCGCAGCACCCAAGCCTGAAGGGCACTTCTGCAGCCAGGCCAGGAACAAAATCAGAGATCCAGAGATCCGGGCCGCCAAATGTTCGAGGGATCCAACCCCCCTTGCCAGTTGAAACATCACTGATGGATATCCTTAATCCAACGGAACGAAATGACAAATTGCTGGGCTTCTGGGGATGCTTCAGTCAAGGGCCTTGCCAGGTATGTTTTTTGGAGCTATGGATGCTTAGATAGGCCACAAGCTGTATATAAGTGGCTTATAAACCCCGTACCTCCAAAGCCCATACCTCCAAAACCTATACTCCCTAAGGCTCATGACCCTTCCAATGCAGGCCCCCGGGCCCTCCAATGAAAACCCAGACTTCTCAGCCCTTGAACACAACTCATCTTCAGGGCCCAAAAATCATTGGGAAAAAACACCTGCCGTTTTCCCTGGGTTTCTGGAGGTTTTCTGGGAAGAAGGATCCCGGGAAAGAATGGACATGAAAGGTACCCCTACTCAGTTGTTCAGTGACCCTGCAAAAAAAAAGGGAACCCTTTTTGGGGCTTGGACCATTTTAGTGGGGCGACCAACAAAAAAGTTGGAAAAAGAACTGGGGCCACTGAACAACTGAGCCTAGAATACTTGACAATTCCCCTTGGTCCAGACCAGGCCGCCCAGCTGTACAGGATCTGGGCTCGAGATCTTGGCCCGCACAGCCCTGGGGCGAAGAAGGAAAAAAAACATGCTCGGAAAAAGCTTGGCATGCTTCCAGGGATTCTAGGGGTAGCTTCCATTTCCATTCTTTCATTCTTTCAAGAGGTCGGAGAACGGGAACGCAAAAAGCCAGGGCAAAAGTCCTTTGGGGCTGAACGGGGGGTACGCAAAAACCCGCAAACCGGGGCAGAAGTCCGTCTAGGGGCCGCTTTCCCGGGGCTTCCGGAGGAAGTTTCTCGAGATTGAATCGACAGCTCAGCCCCGAAACATGCCGGGTGTGATCGCTTCTCCCCAGAACTCTGTGGCCATGAGAACAAGAATAATTTTAGGGACCTACATACCGGGGTTGATCAAAGGGTCCTTTACATGGGATGACCATTGGCTGGGAAAATCACAGAACAGCTACCCATGTCTAAAGAAACATATGTCTGGGGGTAGCTTCCATGTCCATTCTTTCCACAGATCCGGATCTTTCGAGTGAACACGACCCAACAAAAACCTGGGGAGAAATGGCGATTTTTGAAAGGAAGGACGGCTGAAAAGAATGGACAAGGAATCAACCCCTAGAATGCTTGGGTCTTCAAACCGGTGAGTGTCAGAAATAGGTACCCAAAATGGAACCCTGGTAAATCGAAGCAAGGGCCAAAACCTGCGGCCCCCTGGTGGCTTACTTAAACCACTTCAGTAGGTTATTAACCATGTTAATACTGGGGCCAACCCGATTTACCCCACTTTTTATTCATGGTTGTAACCTACTAAGTTGGTACATCCAAGCGAGGCCGATGTCTAACCAAACCAACCCAAAAAGGACACCTATGCTTTGGCCTGGTTAGGAATGTTCGATTCGGAACCTGGTGGACGCATATCAGATGCTGCAAGCACCTTCTGTACTGTCTCAGAGGCGCGAAAGGGCGGTCTTGACACCTTTCTGCTGCGACTACTTTGGGTCCCCCGCGCCAAGTGATCCGGATTTCCCCAAACCAAACGACTACGAGTGATATTGTCACTGACTGAAAAGTGCTTTTCCCTGGTTGCGAATGTGGATCTCAAGTAGTGTGGCGTACTAAGACAAGACATTGAGTCACGATCAAAACCTGGCATTCATCATAGTGGACCCAAAACTAGGTCAGAGCCGCGCCCCTTGTACGATGACTCGAATCCCATTTTTTACATCCCAGGTGAGTGCTCAGGTGCACCCTTAATCTGCTACCCCAAGCGTCAAGCTGACAATCGTGATCGTGCCATCCCGTGGACCCTTGAAACCGTCGTCACATTCTTAGCGGAGTAGGGCCACACGCCAAAACCACCACAAACTTAGGGCCTTGGGATTGGGGCGGACACCAAATCAGGCGAGGTTCCTTTGCCCCTTCCCACATCAGGGAGCTCAAAATTTCAAAATGTCATCCTGAGTACCCTGATGCAAACTCGTCAACTTGTTGCTTGGTGGTTCGTGACAGCCTTATTGTCCAACATGAGACTTCTTCATGGTTGTGGAAATACGCTTTGCTGAGCTGTCCTCAGATCCCCCGCTAAAAGTGACTAACTTGCTGTTTTGCTACATGGAAAACCCCACTAAACACTAAGAAGCTAAGAAGCTAAGGAACCGGATGGCTGCTTGAGCCACCAAGTTTGCTGTACACCCACTGGGTATTGACCACATTTAGGCGCATGTCCGGATAAAACCGTGTTACTCACTTCCCAAGTTGACTGGCCAAAAAAAGTTTGAACTTTTTAGTTACCACTAAAATGGTCTTTCCCAAAAAGTTTAAAGTCCACCAACTCAGGAAGTGAGGTTATTTTGAACCATCTTGGGATATTTACCAAGGGTGTCATCCCAGGGTGTATTACAACAATCCTCAGATCATGGTTGTGGAAATAAGCTTTGCTGTGAGCCGTCCTTCTGACCGCTTTCTCTTTGGTGAGAAACTGGCCCCAACCCCGGTTGCCAGAACCTGGGTTGACGTTGGAAGGGGAGCAACAATTCTCAAGTTTTGGCAGTTCGGTGGTTGGCTTTCAACCACTAAACCCACAATAAGCAAAAGTGCAAAATATGTTTCACAACAACAACCATGCAACCATGATTTCCGACCAACACATGCAAACCCTTCAAGGCAAACCGTTCAAATCGGCAGCCGAAAAGGACACGGCACGCCAGGCACCCAGGGGACGGGCACTCTCCAAAAAGACATGCAGTTCGCCACCATGTCTCAGTTGTTCAGTGACCCTGAAAAAAAAGGGAACCCTTTTTGGGGCTTGGACCATTTTTGTGAGGCAGCCACCAAAAAAAAGGGGGGAAAAAGGGGGCCACTGAACAACTGAGATGTGGACAAATGATTTCCCATTTGCCGTTTGTGACAAAAAGAGTCAAGGGAACTGACCTGGTATTGAAGGAGTCTAAAACACGCACAAACAAAACTTGGATATCCGCACCTTGTCGTTGGGACTGTCCTCTGTTAACTGTTGATTGCGGGTTTTGTTGGATACCTCACACAACAATTGCCACACCAGATTCCCTCTTAAACATGAAATACCGCACTAGTTGCCCCATGATTCTCTTATGACCGAGACTCGACTCAATTTGGTTCTGAAGCACCCGACCCATCTAGTGAACATGGGGAAAAAAGAGCGTTGGCCAATGTTCAAGCGAAACTCTTCTCCCTCCCAAGAATAAAACAGGGAAAAAACCCACGCCCTGAAACCGAGGTTGACCCTCAGCTGCCCCAAACCACCTTCGAGCCTTTCCGGGGGAAAAAAAACCTCATAGCTTACAGTTGCTGAGGACAACAACTAGGCTACTGAGAAACTGGGTCATAGATGGCTCGAGGTATGTGCATAGGTGTCCCTTTGCAAAAATAGATGGCCCTGCTGCATGATGAAACAGCCAGGTCAACCAGGGCCATCTATTCTCTATCAAAACAACCAAAAAGTACACCTATGGGTATGTGATGCACCAAAGGCATTCTGAGGCCCGCGACACCTCATCGTCACCGGGGGTGTAAAAAGGATGCCAACCTCAGCGAAAGCATGGCGGGCCGCAAGCTCGATTTCCCAAGCCACCAATCCAAACCACCAATCAACTTGGTTGACGTTGGAAGGGGAGCAACATTCAAATTTCAGCAGTTCAGCGGGGATTTCCCACTAAACTTAACCACAATAAGCAAACATATAAAATGCTTCCAAACAACAACCATGTTGAGAGGTACCTCAAGTAGGGGGCCACCCAAAACCGATCGCCTGATCATTCTGCCCCCTGGTGACAGAATCATGTTTTCACCCTTGGAAGGCGTGGAAGGGCGAGTACTTCCCGACTCCTTCAAAACGAAACCTTGGTTGCTTGTTACATTCCCTCTGTTAACCCACCCCCCAGAAAAAGGAAAAAGTGATCATCAAGTTGCAAAGACAACTGACAAATTGCCAGTCACTTCACGCCATCGCAGGTTGGACCCTTCCAAATTGACAATCCTGTTGGGGAGCATCCCAGTGGGTTAGTGTCTCGGAACCCGAAAGGAAAACAACATGAAGGGTCCAAGCTTAGAACCACCCATCCACGCACCAACCAGGTTCCAGAGCATCACCCACATTCAAAGAGAATTACCGTCCAGGATCTGCCTAACGTGTTGCTTCGGGGAAATCAGGTTGACCCCTTTTCAAGAGGGTGTCTGCATATTTAGCGACCGCCGGGGCTGTCAAAGACAACCTGCACCTTTGAAGGCCTCCTGCGACATGGCTGGCAAAAACCCTCTTGAGGGACACCAAGAAGAGTTTTGCACAACAAGGTCTATAAGTCATATCTTACCCCTTAAAACTCCAAGGATTGGGGAAGACAATCTTTTACAGACATATAGCCCATGTTACCCAAAAAGTTGAAAAGTTGGGTTTTTAAGAGGTAAGTATAAGTCATATTCAAAAGCTGGTATTAGAATGGTCCGGGATTGTCCCTTACTATCCTTTCCCTTACTATCCTCAATCTACCCGAATCGGTTTCGAGCAAGTGGCTCATACCGTGGATGGACAAAATCCTGCACCACCTTGAAACCATGGTTGAAACCATGCCTTAGGTGGTGCGAAACGGATTTTGCAACCATCCACAGTATTCGCTGCATCACCTAGGTCCTACAGCAGAGAGGTTAGACTTATGGACCAACTTTTTTCTGTGGTCTATTTGAGTAGGGGAACCCTCCCAACCAAAAACGAGGTGAGAAGGGGCACCAATTGCTGGGGGACCTAGTCACACGTGGACTCAAACATTGGGCGGATCCATGGTGACGCACATGGAACCCCAAGAGCTCACGGTCCAAAAGGGTCCCATATGAATCAGAGAGTCTCTCCTGGAAACTGGTAGTCGAAATTCAACCAGGAATTGGACCGCGGGTTCTAGCCCAGGTTTCCGTTTGCCAGGATGCCGACACACAAACACATGCCCATGCAGAGACAAAGAGACACAAACACAGACACAAACACGCACGCACTCACGCACTCACGGCCGCAGGCGTGCTGGCACGCACGTGCCATACGTCAGCCAGGGGGCAGTTTTTCCCGGGATCCGAGCCGAGCAACACTCAAAACATGCAGCTACCCCAATGAGCATGAGAACAACTCGGGTTCCGTCCCCTGATTTTTGTGGTTGAGAGTTAGCGAGTGCCCCACCACATCCCTTCCATTTGCTTAAGCCCTCTGAAGAGAATAAACATATTTCCAGTAGTGATAGATTCCCTTTAGCACTGACATCCTGTACTCCAAATGGGCCATAGCCTACAGACCACTAGTCATGGGAACCAAACCAAAGTTCTGGGTTCCCAGCGGGAAACCTCTCGGGTCAAACCCCCATGACGGGCATGACTTGTAGTCACTCAGGGGAGTCATAAAAAATAAGCCACAAACAAAACAAATCTCCTGCAAACACCGTGTGGAGGTCTTTTAAAAAATGGGGGAGTATAAAACGAACGTATTTCCCCACCCAGAAACTCGTCAGTTGGCTCACCACTTGGCAGGCAGTTGCCTCATCGACCGAACCCGAAGGCTCATCGAATGACGAATCAAAATCGACCTCGAGCGCGCGGCCGGTAAAGAGCTGGCATAGGATCACCCCGATGCCTGCGTTCGAGCGACTGGCGACCGGCCTGTTGGAAACCAAAGCACCAAGGGTCCAACTAGGCCCTCCAGATTCGAGAGGTTAGAATAAGGGCACCTGATTTTTTTTCTGTAGCCTATTTTAGTAGGGGAACCCTCCCCCAAAACAGGATAAAAGGGAACTACTGGGGGACCTAGACAACAACCAAACATGTGAAAAATTGAGATCCATCCACTCGCACGGGCTGGTGTCATGCTTGGAAGACGTACCCTCCACTGGCAGCGCATGTTGCAGGGATTGATATCGCCTTGGCACGCAACATTAGCCCTTGAGAATCATGAAGAACTATGACCTATCAAATACTGATCTAAAGCCATAAAAAACAAAAGGTCATGCGACGGTCAGGGTCCCAAGATGATGGCCCCTAGTCACCAGATACTCGTTCAGAGACCCCTATGGCTCTGAATCAACAGTAAACATCGTGCACGTGCGCATGTGTATATAATATACATATATATATATATATTGTAGTATGTATATGTTATACACAATATGATATGCTTTGTCCCCCCAACAAACACCTCGCACATAGGCATTTACAGTCTCCGGAGCACAAGCCAAAGAAACGGACAACTTCAAGGGGGCATGTCACAAAACAGCCTTAAGGCGCTTTGCTCCGCACTTGGTCTCTAGTTAGTGAACCTCAAACTGTACAATACCAGGTTCACTAAATATTTCAGTTTCCAAATACGCTATTTCGCTATCCCAAACGTAGTGAAAGTGGACAGGAGGATTTTGCAAGGCTGTCCTCCGGACAAAATTGCGACATACAAACCCCAAACTTGGATCAACTCCAGAAAGAGGGGGTCAGGTTTGAAGATTTGGCTGTGGGTCAAGAATAGGTGCCCAAAAAGGACCCCTGAGAAACAGAAACATGGACTCAGACCTGCAGTCCAAGTCCTGGTGGTTTAATTTTGACCCATAGCCATTTAAGAATTCAGCCCTTGAGTTGAGGAAGGTTTGAAGAGATTGACTAGGTCCTCCAGTAGAGAGGTCAGAAAAAGAGTACCCTTTTGTCTGTAGCCTATTTTAGTAGGGGAACCCTCCCAACCAAAAAGGGTTCTCAGGGCACTGGGGGACCATGAGGATGTTGCAGCCAGAGAACTCCGATGGATCTTTGAGGCGCCGACTAAAGAGATCCGCTTTCTGGTCGTAAGACCTCGGCGAGATGGAACCCAGGGGTTTCCCACGCTTGGAGCACCGAAACAGACCAAACTGAGTCATAATCAAAACCCGGTAAAGAACCTGAACCGAGAAACTAAATGTACAGCTTAATACCATTTGGGTAAACCCCTTTGGTAAACCCCTTCATAAAAGTTTAACCCCTTCAGTAAAGGATTAACCCAGAAACTGAGCCATTATTAAAACCGGTAGACTCAGTACGTAAATGGTCTACCCAAAACCATGCTTCAAGAAATAAGAAGGTGGATATCCGCAGCTATTTATCTAGAAACCGTTTTGGATGCGCCTTTTGTGGATTTCACCTGTTCTTTCCCCCTGTTGGTCCTGTTTTAGTAATCTTTTAGTACTCTTTTAACCTTCTACAGGGGTGGAACCACAAAAGCCACATCCAAACCGTTTTCTAGAATTTATGGCAAGGGGATTGTCCCTTACTAACCTTCATCTACCCGAGTTTTGAACAATTGGCTAAGATGGGATTATTGAAAATTAAGAAGACTAAATATGAACATCATTTTTTGGAAAAAAAAGAAGGAGCGGTTCTTATCTTGAAGCCGGGTATAAGGCTTTAAAAAACCGTGGTTCCCATGCCCAAGGAGCCTGGAGCAAGCAATCCCCCTTCCAGAAGTTGTCTAAGCACAAAAATCGACTCACCAGCCCCTCAAATGCCAGTGGCTGTGATTGCTTCTTCCAAAAGCACTCCGTGGCAATGAGAACAAGCATAATTTGGATGTGTATCTTTTTAGGGGACCCCAAAATGGTGTGTGTGTGTGTGCGTTTTCTTTTGGTAAAGGGGTACCCTAAAGAAAAGTATGCTCCAATCAGCCAGCCCTGACGACGCATCATTGAAAAAATGGAAGGTGCATTAATTGTTGAAAACAAGCACCTATTACCTTGCAGATGGGTAGAAAACTGGTTTCTGAAAAGCATCTGGCGCAACGTAGCCAAATTTCTACCTAAGAGGTTTGGACACGATTTCCGAGAGCCCAGTTTCGGGAAACAACAACTTGCGAGGGCCTCCCGACAATCCGCTTAGAGGGAGTCAGTGTGGTTCTTTTTGTGGATCCACCCCTGTAGGATGTGAACAGAGTATTACAATCAGCTTACCCTCAATTGGTGTGTTGGCCGGTTTGGAGGTTTTTCACAGTTTCCCATGTATCTACAAGAACCCGAGGTTCAAATCCCCACTAACCCAACTGAGGCTTACCTGGCAGATAGGAACAACACCCGTCTCGGGAAGTTCAGGAAGAAACTACCAACCAAAGTCAGGGGTGGGGCGTCACCGCTTCGGCGCGCGCTTGGACATATGCATCGCCATATCGACTCCATCGCTCTGCTTCAGGAATGCTCAAAACAGGGCTCTTGCGATGGATGCGCCAGGCACCAGTTGAGATTGGTGGGACCAGTATTCACAGGGTTTCACTACCCTCCCACCAACTAACATAGAAGTGCACATTTGGCCCCTTTCCAAGAGGAAAGTCGTCTTTCTTCAGCGGTCCGTGCATCTGTAAACCATCCATGTTCTAAGGGGGAAACCAACAGCATAAGTCCCGCAACATGTGGTTGCTTGCCTAAATATCCATGGATTAATGGAGGCCTATTTTTCGCAGTGAGGGACCCTCCCTGTGATCTACTTCGATACTATTTCTAGGTGCCAATTGCTCCAAATTAACCTGAAACCTTAGAGGTTTCCTTGTCGTCCCATTACCGACTCTGGAGAGCACCAAATATATTGCAATCAGATGGCCGATATTCCGACCCGATGGCTGGCCCCTGGTCGAAATTCGATCTGTACAAGGCTTGCAGGGTCCAAGGGGCCACCTTTCCGACCCCCAATACTGCCATTTGCTGAAGCCTCCTGGAAAACATACAAGTACTTCCAGGAGTGATAGATTCCCTTAAAACCAACAGGAAAAAATACAAATATTCTTAAGCTAGGTCCTCCAGTAGAGAGGTTAGAACAAGGCTGTAGTCAATTTGTGTAGGGGAACCTCCCAAAAAAAGTGGAAAGGGCACTACTGGGGGACCTAAACAACATGATTTGGGACGAGCCGGACCCCTGTGGCCACTCCGTGGCATGTCCACTTGATGCGAAACCGGTTGGTTCTGCTTTTGAATCAACCCGGCACATACGGCTTGGCTAGTCTCTTCTAAGCACCTAAGGCTGAGGTACCTTCAAAGCACCCATTTGGGTGTGCCTGATTTTGAAGCGTGCCCTTTTTGGGGTCTTTATTTTCTTCCATTTGCTTAAGTCCACCGGAAAAGAAAAATACTATATTCATCAGTGATAGATTCCCTTCAAAACCAACAGGGGAAACACAAGTTTATTTTTCAAATGGGTGAGGGTCAAAATTAAACCACTAGGGGACAGCAGGTTTTAGTCCATGTTTCCATTTACCAGGGTTCATTTTGGGAACCTATTTTTGACCCACACCCAAATAAGCAAATGGAAGTTGCTTCCGGGAGACCAAGGGAAAGCGGCCCAATGTGTAACCCCCCAACAAAAATGCGACGAGGCGCCCTTCGATCATCTCCGGGGCCATGTAGTGCGGCGTCCCTGCCTTCTGCATGACCTCGTTTCGCCCGGAATCGACTTGAAAACCGTTGAGGAACGACAATAGCAATCTTCCATTTGCGTTGTCGTCCCCTGGATGTTTTTTTTTTCATATTTATATACAGTAGTGATAGATTCCCTTGAAAACTAACAGGGAAAATAACAAATATTATTTTGCAAATGGAAGCTATGGAATCCCCAGCAGTGACTGGATTTCCCCTTCAACGTTGCAATTGACTGGTGGAAACTCCATCAATAGGTTGCAAAAAGGGAAATGGAGGAAACCCTACAGCTGGAAGCTATGGATTCTCAGTTGTCAGTGACCCTGGAAAAAAAGGGAACCCTTTTTTGGGACGACCATTTTAGTGGGGCAGCCACCAAAAAAAAGGGGGAAAAAGGGGGCCACTGAACAACTGAGGATTTGGTCTCTGCGCGGAGCTCCGGAGTGGTTCGAGGCAACAGGGAAGGTTCCCCAAAGTTCGGGAGGGTTCGAAAGGTTGCGAGGCTGATGGAGACATCACCTGGGCGTATGATGATTTTTTTTGGGGGGTGGATTCCCTAAGGCTCTCCGCTGGACCCGGATGGGATTCCAAAAAATAGGAATTGGGGGTTGAGGTACTATAAGGCTATTATTCAGTCACCGTGACCTTGGTTGATGTGTATTTCCTCTTCGAACATCACCCCGAATGGAAGCTCTCTTTCTTTTGGAATGGGCCCAAATCGTGATGTTTAGAACCACCAAGGCTGAATTGTAGGGACCCTGACAAACCACACCCGAAGCCCCCAGTTTTCATGGGGTGTATACACTCTACTGGCTTCTTGTGGGTTCTGTACCAAGCCCGGTGTTCCATGTGGAGCAAGAACAAAAATGGGGACCGTTTGAACACGCAACCTGGCAAGGAGAAAAACATATGTACCGTTTGAACCGGTGTTCCCACAAATATATTTTTTGTCCAGAAACTCAGGCGAGTTTATTCGTGCGTCTGCGACCTCCAGGTGTTGCTCCCTGAAAGCATGAGTATGATTTCTAATTGGGAATCCTTTCATGATTAGAGTTAGGCCCAGTTATAGAATGTATATTTTATGGTTTGCTTCACTTTCAGCTGGTATAATACGTAAAATGTATCCTAAGTCTAGACAGAATCAGCAATCTGGGCTCAGCTACTGAGCCACTCAGCCCATTTAAGTAGCTACCCCCCCCCCATTGATGCCGCTCTGAGTGGCAAAATTGCAACCCTAGCGGACGGGGAAAAATCTGATGGAAGGACACCCTCCATTCGGAAGGCAGCTTGGAACTTGGTTGACCTTGGAGTTTTGGGAGCAAACAAACCATCAAATTTTGTTCGGTGGATTTGGATTTCAACCACTAAACCACAAGAAGTCCAAAAATGGGCAAAATGTTTCCCAACAACAACCAAGAGAAGGACTTGGCTTGTTTCTTGTAGCTTCTTGGCCCCCCCGAACGTGGAAAGAAAAAACGTTCACCATCTGGGCCCTTTCTACTTGTGAAGCTGATCCCGTGGTCCACCGGCGACCTCACCTAGGTCCTCCAGTAGAGAGGTTAGAATAAGGCTACCAACTTTTTTCTGGAGTCTATTTTAGTAGGGGAACCCTCCCAACCAAAAAAGAAACGGTAAAAGTGCACTACTGGGGGACCTAGGCGCCCTAGAAAGCAAACACACGCTGGCAGCGTGAGTAGTTGCGAACAGACCGGATCTACCTGAACCGTGGGGGCAGCCACAGGACAGCCCGCTCAGCCACTCAGCCACTTGGAGTGGCTGCGGAGCAGCTTCCACCATTGCACGCACAATGAATCTTGTGGACATTCAATTGAAAGTTGAGTCCACCACAGTGGAGGTTGAGGGGGTTCTTATAAGATTCATGGCCATATGGGTTTGTCTCAAAATTGGTTGGAACCACCAAAATGGTGGGTTTTCTCTGGCATTTCCTTCAAAACCCAACGGACTCCCTAAAAAAACACACACCCGTGCCTCAAGGACGCTCTTGAAGGGCCCTTTGTGGGTCCCCTTTCCCTAAAACGAGTCAACTCCCACGCCCATACGGGTGGCTCGTCTTCTTTGGGAGTTGGTACCCCCTTTGTTCTCTGGTCACCGGGAGGCCACCAGCAACAAAAAACCTATTGCGCCATTTTTCCGGGGGGGGTCCAATTACCCCAAAGAAAGGCTTCCCCCACCCCTCCCAAAAAATAAAATAAATTGTCCAACCCACGGGGGTCCAATTCAACTCCCCAAAAATGCAAACAGATTTCCCCCCCACCCCTCCCAAATATATATATATATATATGTCCAACCCATGAAGGTCCAATTCAACTCCCCCAAAAAAGAAACAGCTTCCCCCCCCCCTCCCCCAATATTTTCGTCCAGCCCCATTTGTCACGCGTCGGGGTCCGGGCTCGCTTCCGTTCATGCCACGGGATGAGGTGGCGCCCGTTCACCGATGGCCTGCGTCTTTTTTCAGCTTGGACCCCGTCAAAACTCAAAACCGTGGTCTTCCCCCCATTCCTGCGCTCGTCTCAGGGGTACACCTCAAACTAAAAATTTTCAAATGCCGCTACATACTTATGGTACAATACGATTCTATTACTGCCAAAAACCGTATTTTGCACCAAGCTCCTTTGCTCCCCCACACAAGTGACATGTCAACTACCCTCTGAATGGTTTTACGGGCATCCTGAAAACTTTCCTCGGAACGGTTTTCTCTGCCAAGAAGGAGTTCTCCACTAGGCTGTCCGTTTTCGGATTCCACGCTAAAAGTGACTAAATCTCAGTGGGCGAAATACGGAAACACCACTAAACACTGAAAAGCTACAAAGCTAAGGAACCGGATGGCTGGGAGCCACCAAGTTTCCTTTGTGCTTCCCTTCAAAACCGACCCCAACAAAGGGGGTCTATTTTGGAACCACCCACTTGGCTTTTGATGACATCTTGAGAAGATGGAGCTTCTTGCAGCGCCCTACTAAACATGATCAGAACCACAAAACAACAACAAAATACAAAACGGGGAAAAAGCAAACAAAAAAAACACGCCAACAACGGTCAAGTGGAGGTTCGGGATTTTGGAGGTCTCAAGGTTGCCACTTGCATGAGGGGTATGAGTTGCAAGCTTGTATTCCTGCGCATCCCTAGCTCCACCCATACCTCATGCGCTTGATGGCAGCCTGCAAGGCCTCTTTCAACGGGTATACGCCTTTTTTTGGGGGGGTCATGGAGACCAGGTCCTCCCGCAGAGAGGTTAGAATAAGGGTACCCTTTCTGAAGTCTATTTTAGTAGGGGAACCCTCCCAAACAAAAAAGTTGGTAAAAGGGCTCTACTGGGGGACCTGGGAGACTCCGGGTGCCGCTTCTTCTGTTTTTGTTGCTTCTTTTGGAAGCTTTGCAAAGAAGCCGGGCAAACAAGTGGAGTGGGGAAATGCTTGCGCCAGCATGGACTCCTATCTGAAGGACTGTTCTGATCACTGGGAGAGTCCGCGAGGGGATAAACGACGAGGGCCCTGAATAGTCCAAGAAGCTCAAAGGCAAGCTCCATTTGCTTAAGTCCCCTGGAAAAAGATTCCCAGTAGTGATAGATTCCCTTTAAAACCAACAGGGGAAAATAAACATATTCTTATCCAAATGGAAGGTAAGCCTGGTGTTGCACGAATAGATCGAGTTTTTGCCGGCTCCACCAAATTCACTGGCTCAAACTCCAAGCTTTTGCGGCTCAAACTTTTATGTTGGCTTCACCATCCACCGCAACGAGACAACAACTTGACACAGGGCTGTGGGAACTGACCACTTCTGTGATACATCAAAAGGACCTCCCAAACACCAACCCATAACTTTGTTGCTGTTGACCCCTCTGCAAAAAGTTTAACTTTCTGTGGGTTAGCGGAAAACCCCTTGATGTCCCAAAAAAATAGAGTCTAAAGATCCAACCCAATAGCAGTCAAGGTAAGAGGGAATTCACGAAGATATCACAGAAGTGATTGGATAAACCCCGAGTGATCCCACAACCCTGACTCAACAACTTTAAAGATAAAGGGGTCAGATCGCCATGTTTGCCGAGCTGCAGTTTTGCTCACAACCCAACCCAGCGTTCCCTGGGGAAATCACAACACCTGACTCATGGGGGTCTTCTCTGGGAATCGAAGAGGGCCCCACACAGATCTGGCCGCGTCTTTTTCGTTTTTGCACCCTAGGATTTCTTCATTCTAACAAGGGAAGCCAGCCATTTTCGCCATTTTCAGGGCATCTAAAACCGACAAACCCATGTGTGTGTTGTAGGTGAGGGTCTCAGGAGCTCATAAGCCAAAACATTTCGAGCCACAGGGTTGCTAGCTCTGAGACGGTTGATCACCTTTAGTGGATGGAACAACCCTTTGGGGGATTCGTGTCCGATCATTTTTTGAGGTCCCCCGCGTTTGTTCTCCCCAAAAAGTGCTTTTGGGTCGATTTTCGGTCCCTCAACCAAACTCAGATGCCCAGTGGCCATGTGAAAAATGGGCATCCGTTTTTTTGGTTGGTTGAGTTTAAACAGGGATCCTTACATTATACACCTGAACATTGCCTTGTAAATGGTGGTGTCCCTTTATTTATTTTGGTGGAAAAAGCCAATGTTTCAAATGGTTGCAAAATGTATCTTTTAAGGAGCCATGTTAAAGGGGAATCCGTACCCAAAAAAAGGAAAAAAGGGCGGAAACACTGGGCAACCGAGCAAATCGCTCAATTTGAGCTGACCAAATCGAGTCGAAATTTGACTGGGGCGCCGGCAGCATGCGCGCCAACCGGCCCATGGTGCCGCTGCGCGCAACCTTCACTTCCTTGGCCTCCGCGAATCGAATTCATCGAATTCAATTCGGTGGACCTTTTGCTCAGTTGCCCAAAGGACCCAGAACTAAAAGGTTAACCTTTTGGCACCTCTACTAAAAATGGACCAAAATGGGAAAACCAAAAGGTCAAAAGGTCGGCTTTGGACAACTGAGTTTGGGTATGATGAAATACGCCTTGGACGTTGCTCCATTGAAAGTCCGGTGGGTTTTACGGCTCGTTCCTTGGGCTAAGCCCCCGTGTCGTTTGCTGCGGGCAAGAAATAGATGTTGTTTTTGCGGGTAGATGGCGCATCAACGTGAGCTAAACCACTGGAACCCATCGATTTCTAACCAAAATTAATTATCAAAAGGACACCCGTATATTGATTCGACGCCCAAGTCCGGTCCAATGGGTCCGGAAGGATCCCGGCCCCGCTCTCAACTCCGACAAAGCTGGGGTTCAGGCAGGCCACCAGTAATTAAAACAATGGTTGTGTTCATATATGGCTGTGGGTCAAAACCCTGTACCCCTGGTGAACGTGCAAATGGATGTTCATCCACTCCAAAATGGAGCCATAGGTTCTGCCCCATGGCCATATCCACCGTTGTGTACCTAAGGATTGGTCGGGGGCAAGGAACCCAAAGGAAAAGCCATCCTCGAATATTTGAACCCGGGCAGTTGTCCCATCTAGAAAACAAAACGAGACCCCCTAGGTCCTCCAGTAGAGAGGTTAGAATAAGGGTACCCTTTTTTTCTGTAGTCTGTTTTTCGTAGGGGAACCCTCCCAACCAAAAAAGAAACGGTGAGAAAGGGCACTTAGCTTGGGGACCTAGCCCCTAGAGGCAAAAAAAGGCCTCAAAGGCCCGAACTCTTGGGTTGATCAATCCATCTGTTGGTGGCTCAAAGAGCACACGCTTCCCTACTTAAATTGATTTCAAAGGGACCTTCTGCTGAAGGAAGAAAGGAATCACCTGGGCCAAACACCGACCACCGCAACAAGCTTGAACTTGTTGGCAAGGAAAACAAACTGGAGCATCAACAAGGCGAAAGTCAAAGGGTGAACTCCAACAGCGATGAGAACAGACTGGGCAGGCCCTAAGTGACGAATTATTCCAATTCCTTCAAGTGGAGATTCCTGGGCTGTCCAAACGGATCTGAAAGTGACTAACTTGTGGGTGAAATACGGAAACCCGACCACTAAACCGACTAAAACCCACTAAAAAGGCGTAAGTTGAACCGGATGGCTGGTTTTTCACCACCAAGATGCCCAGGTCTTGCGGGGGAAACCATGGTTTTTTTTTGGGCGGCCTGCTCCCTGATCTTCTCGTGGAAGTTGGCGAGCCCGAAGTCGATGCTGGCAAAAGCGCTGGAATTGTGTCTGCCCCGCAGAACGAGGGGCGCTCGGCATTCAGATGTTCAACTTGCTGGCGCGATAGGCAGGGGTTGAAAATTAGAATGAACCCGAGATAAACCATCCCTTGTGGTTTCCTTGAAGGGAATCGCCAAACGGTTGATTCCCAACACCCGGAAGGTCATTCCCTAACGATCACCAGCAAGTCAAGGAAAACCCTTCCCGGAACCAGCTGAACAAGTTGAACCACTGGTCTGCGGAAAAAAGACAAAGGAAGATCGGTGCGAAAAAAGAAAAGACGAGTTCATTGTCTGCAGCGAAATACGCCATGACTTGTTGCTTTCAAAAAGGCTCTGTTGGCTACTCTCAACCCCATCTCACATACGGTGTCGCCACTTAAACACCCGGACACTAAAATAGGTGAACAATTTTACACTACCTCCCAGCCCTGAAGCCCAGGCCCGGCCCCCACATATTTAAAAGTCGTCACCGTACCTAGAGGCGGTCCCTTTTCGAGGGTCCCCCCGTGTAAACCAGGATGCATGAATAAGCCGCTCGTTTTCGAGTCCAAGCCTCTTGGCTTGTCGGGGTAGCCAGAAACAGAAACCCAACATTTTTCCCAGTGGGAGGGGATGTCTAACTGAAACACATTTTGAAGTTATTTAACACCTGTGGCATACAAAGTTGTAATTCATTGATCGGTTTGGATCTCTGCGTTAGCTTTTCAAAAGAGGCAAAGAACACTGCGTGCGACTTGTGATGCATAGCAAAAAAGACTCGTAAACAGCTTGACAAATTCAGCCAGCGCAGGGCCAAGCTAATTCATGCACCAAACGCAAGCAAACTGAGTCCATTCAAGTGACTGACATGCCTGCCCAAAGTGTGATTTCCAACATGGCCAAACTGCATCGCTTGAACAACGGAAAATGATACCACATGGCACCAATCGATTGGCAAGTGGAGCCCCATAAGCAAGCCAAAGACCCCCCCCCTCCCAGCAAGGTTCTTAGAATCTTAGAACTGGTTTCTTAGAGTGTTTCTAGGCATAGATTGTGGAACACCAGTTGACAACATGGGTCAACATATTAGCGAGCCCTAATGCCTCTCCTTAAGCGACCAAAACAAGGACGGCGCGGCATCTTCAGCGGAGAGCTTGCGCTGCGATCCACGAAGAGTATGTTCTCAGGCCTCGGTTGGGTCCAACAACACATGGAACCTTTTAAGGGCCTATCACAATTGCTTGCGTACGGGGATTCCCTTGAAATCATGTTGAGACGGTGAAAAAGAAACCGATCCCTTTGTTAGTCCAGGGTTGACATGATACCAAGTAAAAAGAGCGTTGGCACTTGGAGGTAGAGCGATTCATCCGAAGGATCCTTCACAGAAGCAAATTGGTCTGCCGCAGCAAACGAAATAGGCCACTGACTGGCCGGCTCTAAGCAGGGAATGAGCTGGAATGACCCCGCGAAAACCATCCCCTCGTGCTTCCTGCGAGGAAATCCCTGGGTTCATTCCCAACACCCGGAACGGTCATTCCCTGCCTATCGCAGCAGCAAGACGAGTCACCCTTATTATCAGGAAACATTTTCAGGGTCAACCAAACCAAACAGAACAACGATGGGTCGTCACAAGTCCTGGGCCAAAAGTCCTTCTGGGGAAAAGAAACTCGGTGCTGTTGAACGGGAGTGCGGTTGCCAGTCTTGCGTCAGGCTACCACTAGCCAGCTTCCGCTGGGGATGACGGAGAATGTGCGGCACATGTCTTCGCTTGAGGGCAACCACATGTTTCAAGCAGAAGGAGGCTCTGATTCAACCAACGCAAACTTTGTGCCAAAGCACAAGCTATAGACAAGCTACTCTGCATCGAGAAAAATCAAAAGGCCTAAACAATAACAAGGATGTAGCTCCTCACCACCCGTCGCTACACACATGGATTAAGCACCCTGTCATGTCATGGCAGCTAACATAATAATCTTTACATCGCGAGTTTTGACGATTCAATGGTTGGGCACGTGTCTAAAAATTGGGGCACCCTGGTTCGATGGCGGGCTGCCTTTTGGTCGTCTACGTGCCTTTTCGTTCCCTAAGCCAAGATCAAAAGGGTTGGTTGCCCTCAAGAGCATAGGTGACCTATAGGAAAGTAGTTTGCGCTGGTACAAGGTCTATAAAACCAATCTAAACCAGTGGAACTCATCTGTTTCTGACCAAACAAAGACATCAAAACGACACTTGTGCTGAAGAGCCCCATTTCACCTGATCTCCTTAGGCTTCGGCTTGATGTCTCGGTGAATGATGCCCTTGTCGTGGCAGTACTTGGTCGCAGAAAGAATCTGCTGCCTGGCGAAAGGGAGACAAAACCTTTGTACACGAAACGCCGCAGGGTGCGCGCGTGTGTGTGTGCCAACCCAAGACATGGTGGCTTTGCGTCCGAATTTCAGGGGCAGCCTGAACAACAACCACAGCCAAGTGGAAACGAAGCCTGCCGAGGCGAAACCCATGGCCTGACCTTAGGATGTGGAAGGCTTTATTCGGGCAACCGGACTCACCTTTGGCCAGCGATCCAAGAAGTCAGAGCAATCTGGAGCTTTGTACAGTGTGTCTTAATGCGTGCACGCCTGCCATGTAACACTAGGTCCTCCAGTGGAGAGGTTAGAATAAGGATTGAAGCACAGTGGCGCGACCAGAGCAGATGGAATCTCGCGGAACATGTCAACAGAAACATTCTACTGGACACTTCCCCATCCTTTCCAGGGATCTTTCTTTCTAGCAAACCATCAGAACCCCAGGGGAAACAGCATTTGCTTTTGCAAAAAAGCGATGGTTGAAAAGAATGAAAAGGAATCAACCCCCTAGAAACAAATCATTTTTCAACTCACCCATGGAAGACCCACCCCGCAAGCCCTTTGGCATTGGACAGGCCCTGCTGAAGGATACTGCCCCAACTCTTCATGTTCTCACTTGCCCACTGGCCTGGAAATAAAGCTTAACCGTTTCGAACCTTGACAGGTCGAAAAGTCGATTTGGACAAGTGATAGTAAGAACGGAATGCTTTTTGCAGTCCCTTCTGCGTTCATGGCCTATAGCTTATTTGGGATTCACGAACTGCCCAAGTTGTCCCCTTTTGCCTGTTGCACATGTTGTCTTTGTGTGTCTGTGTCCTGTTCGGGACCCAACTAACCAACACTCAGCCACAACAATACTGAATAAGGGCTGCAAAATAAGTACAGTGGGTCTGGGTTTACTGGTCGGGGTCTAAGCAATACTCATTAGTTCTACGCCAATACTGGATGTACTTGCTGAATCCTGCAAGCCTGGTTGCAAGCCTCGGCGAGTTTTGGGTTTTGCTTGATGGGCAAATCATGTTTTATCCCCAAACCTTGCTAGGGGTACCTTCCCCATTCTTTCCAGGGATCCTTGGATTCAGGAAATCATCAAAAACCCAGGGGAAACAGCCGGTTTTTGAAAAGAACGATGATTGAAAAGAATGGACAAGGAATCAACCGCTAGAACCTCTCATTGATCTTAACTGCAGACTCAGCGAGGATGCAAGAGGCACATCCAGTCTGCGTACGTATCACCACACATGCGGTCTTGATTCCCGATACCACAAACAGCAGCTTTGCATAAGATCAAAAGCCTGCAACCAATAACAAATTTCAACACATCCCGTATACACCGTATACCCAGTTCAAGATACCGCTACCTCCCCCGATCAGAAAATGCCTTTGAACAGGCCGGTTGCTCAATTTCTTCATCTCGCCTTGCTTTGTACTCTCCACTCGTGCAGCTCATATATATGAGGTTTCCTACCCTTGCGCCATTCTGAAGACATGTGAAACGGATTGGTCTGTTTAGGTGAAAAATCACAGCGTGCCGGGGACTCCGCGGGGTGACTGGATCTCAGGTTGCACTCTGATCATTTCTGAATCGATCGATCCCACTTTTGGGGGTTCCAAAAGGGAATGGCTCGGACAACCCGTGGGAACTGGACGCACTTCAACAAAAATAGATACTAGGTCCTCCAGTAGAGAGGTTAGAATAAGGGTACCAACTTTGTTCTGTAGTCGATTTTAGTAGGGGAACCCTCCTCCAAAAAAGGGTAACAGGGCACCACTGGGGGACCCAGGATAGATCCCCACGTACGCGGCCATGAGTCAAAATCCAAATCGGTTAGCCCCAGAAAGAACATCCCATTCAATCCAACCACTAAAAAAGGTTCTAAAATGGGTGGTGCACCTACCCAAAAATGGTACCATTGGTTTTGACCCACAGCCACACAGACAAACGGATGGATAGATAAATAGACAGATAAAAAGGTACGAGGGCAGATAGATAATTACATAGTCAAGTAGAATTAAATCTGAGGTCCCAGCATCATAAAGGCAACGTGGCTCTCCGTCATCGGTTGCTTCAACCTGTCGTGCAGTCGGCGAATGACTCGGGAGTCGGACGAATCCCGAAGCGGAAATATGTGCATGGCTTCTTGTTTTTTGAGGGCGCTCGGGTTGTCTCCACTCAGTTGCCCAAAGGACTCAGAAATAACAAAAAGGTTAATTAACCTTCTGCAACCTTTACCAAAAGTGGACCAAAACAAAGATACGCTTTGGACAAGTGAGTCAATTTTAAAGGGAAATAAAGGTATATGGAGTACCCCTATTTAGAGAACCCATGTGTGCTTCAACGTCTTTTTGTTGCTTGGTGTGCTGCAAACTGGCCTAGAAGTTTTCGTGAGGTCCGATGCCCGTGTTCTCAAGAGAAAGACCCCTGAACAGAATGGGGACGGACAGCATGGCCTCGTGTTGACTTGAACCACGCAAAGATATTCACTTAGGCAACTCGTATCGCGATGAACCAACAACCAGAGGGTGCTTCCTACGTCGTCACATGCTGTATCCACAAATATTTGCAGACCTGTCAGACCCTAAAGTTGGAAAAACCTGCTTAATGCAAACCGACACCGGACAGCCTTCCATTTTGAAGACCCAGATCTGTGGATTTGCGCATCAAGTTGTTTAGGTGGTTGGTTTTGAATGGAATCCCCCTCCCCACAAAAAAAGAGGGGCTGACCACTAGAGGTCAATTCGGCGAGTTCCAAAGCAACATCCGGAATCCTCCCCGGTCCTCTCGTAGTGATGCAAGATGCGGGAGAACAAGTCCCCTCCCTCGCACAGCTCGGTGACCAGGTAGATGTTACCTCGGGTAAAGGACCCAAACCTGCAGATAGCTTGGTTGACGTTGGAAGGGGAGCAACAATTCTCAAATCTTAGCAGTTTAGTGGGGATTTCCCACTAAACCACAATAAGCAAAAATGTAAAATGTTTCCCAACAACAGCCATGATAGGGGCATGAGACTGAAGCAAGAGAAAGGCCAAATCAGCTGCCAATTGAGGCTACGGGGGTTTTGGGGGGATAGGGTTCCTAATTCTCACCATATTGCAGGGGGAACAAGCGCAGCTCCGTAATCTATCGTAATGGATCATGGTGTCGGGTGTGGTCCAGTGTGGTTGGTGCACTTGCCAGATTTAGGGCATCCATCGTGCCAATGGGACCAAAGAATGACTTGGCGTCTTTCTTGCCTCAAGGAAAGAAAGGCCAAATCTTGGTGTCTTGATGTTTTTGTGGGAGACCTGCTCAAATTGCTCGAGGATTTGGCCTATCAAGACTTTGATGAGGTCCAAACGGAGTGCTACCTTACCTTTCACAGCCTGACATGAGGCGGCGACATGACCAGCATCGCCCCCTCCAACTTGCAACTGCTTTGTGGCTTTCGCGGGCGGCGGGTCAATGATCAATCCCAAAAACAGTTCCAATTCCAGCACCCCCCCCCCCAACCGCTGCTTGTTTGTTCTCGTATTTGTGTTTTTGGACATGGAGGAAAATGCCAATGCAGTGGCGAGTTGGGAACCAGGTGCTGGCATGGCAAGGGCTCCGCCAAACCTCTGAACCGAACCCCCAGGGAACCTACAAACCATTTCCACCTGTCATGTGTTCTCCAAGGTCATGGGAAGTCTTGAAAGGAAACACGACAAAATCTATAATTCCTTTTGATACCAATCTATTCTGTCTATATATAATCTACACATTATGTTTTGCTCAGAAGGGGCAACCCCAACATGAATCAACATCACCACATGGTATTAAAGTGGCTTACCACCAAATCAATGCAAGGAATTGTTTTTTGGCGATGGCAGCTATTCTCGGTTGCTTTCTGCTCCCCTGCTAAAGTTTAACGTTTAGTGGTTTAATACGGAAACCCCATTGGTTGGCAAAAAAATGTTCAGTCCTAACATCCCTTGGCAACATGCACCAAAGAATAGTAAGTATTCCCCTCTCTTCCCTGAAAATTCCCCGGTTCTTCCCTTCCATGTCCCCAGAATTTCCACCAAAACTCCTGCAGAGTTCCTCCCGCATCCCCCCCCAATCCGCTCGCTCCGCTCGGCTCGGGCAGTGTGTGGGCACCCCCGCCGCTGGCCACCGCGCCGGAATCCGAGGCCTCCGGGTGTTGGGGTGGGCTGAGGCGCCGAGGAAGCGACGCGGAGAATCAAACGGAAAATCGTCGTCCTCCGAAACGCGCAGTTCCACCAAAAACGTCGAAAAAAACCAGCGAATCAAACGGAAACTCGTCCTCCTGAAACGCGCGGCTCCGCCAAAAACGTCGAACATTTCCCAGCTTCCTGCAGAACGTCTCTTTTGTTTGGTTTTGTTTGAAGGGAAGAGGGACAAACAAAAACAGTCTGGAGACTCCAGATTGCTCAGTCGTTGTGTTTTTTTTTCTCGTGTTCTTCCCCAGAGCCGCTGCGGTGGTAAGGCGGCCGGGACGGCGGATTTGTGAATCCCCCGAATTTAAGACAAGCCCATTTGCTTTTCTGTTTTGCCTTGGACTGAGAGGAATTCCTCTGAAGATGGCGGATGAACCGCTGGGAGTCAACCCAAGTGAACGAGAAAAGGGGCGGAGAGAAAAAAACACCGCAAAAACATCAAAACCAAAGGGACCAAAGGAGCAAATTTCGAGTAGCGATACATTCCCTTTAAAACCAACAGGGGGAAATAACACATGTTCATATTCTTAAGCAAGTGGAAAGGGCCTGTCGGCCTTGTGTTGGGAAGACTAAACAGAAACTAGCTGCTTGTCGGTCCCTGTGTTTTCCAGCCTTCTTGATTTTTGGGAGCCCACAAATCGAACAGGCAAAATGCATGTCATCTGGGTCAATTTATAAAGTTCCCAAATTTGGCAGCTATAAATGGGTGTGTATCCGAGGGACACCTTTCAAAAAGAAGGTGGCCTGAAATGGAAAAAAAGGCCCCCTCCTTCAAAAGGTGATGTTTAGATGTTCAAAAGGCTCACCTCCTGGGCGCTTGGCACTGAAACAAGCTCAAGCTGCTTTGTTTGCCACTAAAACGGTCCAGTGAGAAGCTGCTTTCATTTGTTCCTTTTGCGAAGGAAATCGACTCCTCACTACTTGTGCCGCGGTTCGAAGCAAAATCTGAAAGAAGTAACAGAAGGGGCAACCTAATTCTTAATAGTCCACCTACCCCATCATGACTAAACAAATCTTCACAGGCTTCAAAGACCCCAACCTTGTCTCAGTTTCCCTAAGGACCCCGAAAAACAAAGTCGACCTGCAGAAACAAGCTGGGTCCGTGATCCCTATTTTTTTGAAAGTTGGTGCCCTTTTTTGGTCAGGTCAGTACATTGAGAACCCGCAAAAAAGCCACCCGTTTCGGGTGACAAAACAACCCCGTGGACAACCCTTATATCCTTATGCCCCAGTATCGGTCAGTATCGTTTTGCCTCTGCATCTGTTTGCAGTGTTTTGGCAGCTCTAGCTCGAAAGTCGCGACGCCTTCGTGAAAGTGCAGTATACGAAGTACACTCTGCCAGCTTCGGCTCGAAAGTCGCAACTTTTGAGTACAAGTGTAGTACACAAAGTACATGTTGGCAGCTCCAGCTAAAAAAGTCCGCAGCTTTTAGGTACAAGTGTAGTACGCAAAGTGCATTTTGGCAGCTCCAGCTGGAAAGTCACAAGTTCAGCAGTATACCCACGAAAGTCGCAGCTTTTCAGTGCAAGTAAGTGTAGCATAGTGTAGTATATGAAGAACATGTTGGCAGTTCCAGCGCAGAGTCGCAACTTGTCAGTACAAATGTAGCACACAAAGTACATTTTGGCAGCTCCAGGGGAGGCTGCAGGGCAGCTGGTTGGATTCGGCATGGCGGCTCATGAGTTGGGTATCGGTTGGGTAGCGGTTTGGGTATTGGTCTGGGCCGTGCAAATTTACGATTCCTCAATCTTGGCTTGCGACAACTTGGACCTGTGCGTCTTCGCGGCTTGAGTCTCGGTTTACAATGGTCTCGGCCCGTAAAATCTCAAGGGCGGCCCCTTGCCCATGGGCCAAATCGAAACGAACCCCCCCGCCGAACCCGGATCCACGGGACCCATATGGCCATGGGTCAAAGCCATCGTTATCCCCCCCACCCTATCCCAAAATGGAACCATCGGCTTTGAACCATGGCCAGATGAGCCTGCCTGAAGCCAAACCTGCGTCTCGATTTTCAGACATCCCGGTCACAGGCACCCGCCTTTGGTTGGGGGACCATGTAAGGAACCAACCAAGAAAAAACGACACCGTTTGGAAGTCCCAACAAATCCATGCTTGAAGGAACAAACAAACGCGAGACTGGACAAGTGTCCCTCACACGCAACAGTTGGGTTAGACTATTCAATGCTGTGCCAGGAGAACAGGCTGAAAGGTATCCCATTGGCTTCTGTTGCACGTTTAGGGTACCCCCCACAAAATGACACACCCAAATGGCTCAATGGGCGTCGGTTGCTTTGGAAGACAGGGGGTAGCCCCACTTCCTGCAAGGATTGGCGACCGAACGCACGCCAGAACTTTTTGTTCCTCCCTGTGTGATTCCCAAAAGGTGACACTTTCGCAATCAGAAACGGACGTTAAAGCTCATATCTACAAAAAATGCCAGGTGAACAAACGGGGGTGTCCATGTTTTGGGTCCCTTATTGCGTTGTTTTTAGAGCCTCTCCTTTGGGCCGAAGAAAAAAAACACCTTTTGGCTGAGTCTCCGCTGCTCCGCTTCGACTCGGCAAAACAAACGCATCTCCGTTGCCTGTTCGAAGTACACCTCGTGCATCTTCATGATGTGCGGGTGGTTCAGCGACCTCACGCTCGACCGCTCGACCGCTGGACGAGTCGACGATTCGGCCGGCAACGTTGGGGCAAGGTGTTGACTGGCACTACCCCAACGCCTGGGGGGTTAGGGGGGTGGTTTGGGGTTTGGGGGGGTCTGTAAAGCAGTGACATGGGCATTTGAAATCGACATGAACCCAGTGGATATGATTGATCAGACAATTGTGTAAAAGATCTGTTGAAGATCTGTTGGAGGGTGTTCCCGGTTTGGGGAGCTATCTGCTCAGTTGTTGTCTGAACCGAAATTGTCTATCTGATCAATCAAGCGAACACATACAGACGTAAACAAACAAACAAACAATCAATCTATCAAACAAACAAACAAACAAACAAACAAACAACTGACATGTTTCAAAAGCGCAGGAGCGACGGTCGATACTGGTTGTCTTGCCAAGAGATACTGGACTTTGCTAAATGGTATGTGGGCAGCTTCCTGCTGGCAACTCATTCCCCGTCGACTCAAAACCTTCGTCGCGTCTTTGCTTCTCGAACGCCTATCCGACGTCTGAGCAGCTGACAAAGATGCTTCCCAAGAGGACATGGGGTGCAATTGGATGGATCTGCGTGTGTTGGGAAGAAGTTTAAGCCGCCATCCGCAACAATAGACCAAACATCAACTTAGTGACTCCTGTGTGATTGGGATTGTTGGTGAGGTTGTGCACCCCTTCTTGGGATTTGGGTGTGGCTCAAAATTTAAGAGGTAGGGTTACGCAGGTTTTACTCTTTGGTTCCATTTACCAAGGTGCCAATTTTAGTACTGAGCCACAGCCATTTCGAAGGTTCAGCCGCACGTCTGCAAGCGCCTTGCCATTGCCAAGCAGCTTCAGCAATCGGATCTCATTGTCCATCAGCTCGCGTTGAAGAGCTGTTTGCACTGCCACCACCTGACCGACTCGGAAAAAGGAAACCCCTAACACCGCGGCGAGAAAAATTGGGCGAAGCCCAGAATCCAGTGGATTTCCATGAGCAAAAATAAAGTGGCACACATGTTCTTGTGGCTGGTGAAGGGACACCGCACAACAATCAGCGAAGCCCAGATTCCGTCCAGTGGCGACTCCGAGGCGTAGGGCCGCCTGTTTGCTGGTTGATCTTAACAACGAAAAAACAAACATCAACACGGGGCGGGCCTGCAGGTGTATGTATGTATACATTTGTTTATGTATCTATACATATGTGTATGTAAGCATACATATGTGTATGTATCTATACATACGTGTATGGATACATATGTGTATGTATCTATACATACGTGTATGTATGGAGACATATGTGTATGTATCTATACATATGTGTATGCATGGATACATATGTGTAGGTATCTATACATAGTATGTATACATATGTGTATGTATCTATACATATGTGTATGTATGCATACATATGTGTATGTATGCATACATGTGTGTATGTGTCTATACATATGTGTATGCATACATATGTGTATGTATCTATACATACGTGTATGGATACATATGTGTATGTATCTATACATACTTGTATGTATGGATACATATGTGTGTATCTATACATATGTGTATGCATGGATACATATGTGTATGTATCTATACATATGTGTATGTATGTATACATATGTTTGTGTATCTATACATATGTGTATGTATGCATACATATGTGTATGTATCTATACATACGTGTATGGATACATATGTGTGTATCTATACATACGTGTATGTATAGATACGTATGTGCATGTATCTATACATATGTGTATGCATGGATACGTATGTGTATGTATCTATACATACGTGTATGTATGAATACGTATGTGTATGTATCTATACATACGTGTATGTATGGATACATATGTGTATGTATCTATACATACGTGTATGTATGGATACATATGTGTATGTATATATATATATATAGATATATATGTGTCTGCATAGGTACATGTGTGTATATATCTATACATATGTGTATGTATGCACACATATGTGTATGTATCTATACATACGTGTATGTATGTGTCAAGAGACGGCAAGGTGACGTCCCGTGGGACGCTGTGCACCGAACCCTCAAGCTTTAATACCAACCACGTAGAAAGGTGTATACGGACGATGCCGTTATAGCCGAACCCGTGTAAACGTTGTAAGGAAGAGGGAATGATAATCACACCAGTGGTCCTGACGAAGCGGCGCAAGCAGTTGTTTTGCTCTTAATGCCCGTCACGTATGTGCGCAGTCACACATCAGATCTTGAACCTCAATTGTGTCTTGAGCCTTGAGCCAAATGGCGATCAATGGAACTTGGGAAGCAACACCAACAAGGACCTCAGAACTGCTACCCAATTTCGGCACGGGGCCTAGAGGGTTTTAACATCCCCCATTTGGGTCGCATTGTTCATCATGCGGTCCAAACACCACAAAACGTTCCACTGGCCACGGCTTCAACTACGAAATCGTGTCGTGCATTCTTTTACTTGCTATCACTACACCGTTCATTCGCTGTGAAACATGCCGGGTTCGATTGTACGAAAAGTGAAACATTCATCCTCCAATCGAAGCACACATCCATATGCAGGTGTATATAATACACTGTGGCCACTTCACATGACCGCCAGTGAACATTCCAGCTGCCGCATTTGCGCATCGCGCAGCTGTCATCCATAAATGGGTTGGCCACAAATGTCCACCATGCGCGCCCGCTTGTGATCGGTCTGCATATCTCCGGCAAAGAAACATCGGTGAGTAATCAATGCAAATCATAGCCATTCCAGATACCATGGACAATGCATAAATAATGAAAAGATATCATCTATAAGGTAATAGTTCCATCCATGAATATCCAGAGCGTCATAGTCGTCGGAATATGTAACCATGTACACATCCATTCATCTTGGACACATGAATATAAATCATGACATAAGTCGTTCCACCGAAACAGTGTCGATGTGACGCAAGTAACAGATGGGGACTGGCCCACATCGTACCGCAATCATCATCTTCACGAAGCATACCTGTCCCCAATGGACAGCCTATGGGTACGTCGGCGGAACTCCTCGTCCAAGTTCTTCTGGGCTTCTCGTGCCCGGACACACTTCTTGTTGTAGTCCTCTGGCAACCAGTGCCCTTTCCGAAGGCACCAATCCAGCAGGGGTGTGTCGCATTTGTTCGGGTCGATGGCCGAGATGATGGCGCTCACGTTGACCGCGTAACCATGCTTGCCAAGGTTTAGGCCATCCCTCACGAATGATATATACTTACAGTTGAAAGCTAGTGCAAAACATCTGAAAATAATATCACCCACCGGGTGCACTCGGTCCTTGACCAGGAGCTTCATTTCTTCCTTGGTGACATCGAGGATTCTTGCTGCAATCCACAGCTTGTAGAATGTGTATAGTCCCTCGCATTTGTTCACCATCATACGAATATATTCGTCACGCTCCTCAACCGATCGGAAGGCTCTTGTCCGAACATTCTCCGATTGAGAAATCTTCGTTATTGTTGATGGCAAAAGTATACCTTCCTGATCATGCTCAGTGATGTTGGGGTACCTCCTGAAATCATTGTGATAAGGGCAGCCCGGATTCCCTTCGAGTCCGGCATTCATCGTTCTCTCCTCACCACCTTCAAACATCCCCCACATCTTGGACAGCTGGAGTGCGATAAATCCTGCCATGTACTGAGCCTCACGCGGCTCGTCAAGGCAGATCGCCATCCGTTGGGAACTTATAATGTCCCGTGACGTCAGATCGGTGTCGCGGTAATGCCAACCGCCGTCTTCTTCTTCTGACGCATAGCCGGATGTATATCCTTGCGTGTCCATGTCGTCATCTTCTCCCGGAACTTCCTCCGCTTCGTCCTCATCCTCCTGTGCTGCCGCATCGTGGTTAGCTTCTTCCTGTGCACGCCTGGCATCTCCAGAGACGTTGGGGTTTTGGTTGTCCTCCTCGTCATCGGATTTGATGTGAATGTAGTATCTTCCGATGGAGATCAGTTGTGCCTCGCACTCCAGGCATAAGCAGAAGCAGGTGGGGATCGCGGTCGCACATGATGGACATATCCGGCACCTCAGTCCTTCCCATGTCTCATCATTCAGGATGACGACTTTGCTGACTTCGTCCCGGACCTCGTTGACCTGTGCGTTGAACTCTTCCATCTTGTTGTTTCGATAGAGTTCGCAAGCACGATTAACCATGTCAACGATGTAGTGCAGATTATCGGCACCTGTCTCAGTCTCCGGCATCCTCTCGCTGATCTTTGCGACGTTCTGGAGGAACATCGCAGCCGACTCTTGGGAAGAGTTGACAAAGCCAGGGCAGATCTCGTTCTCCACACACTTCGAGTACGCCCTCTTGATGTCAGCGTACTCCAGGCGCTTCCCTCCGTTGCTTTTGCCAATCCAAATGGACTTGACCTCATAGAACGGGATCACGTCAAAGACCATGAAAGTCCCATTAGCCGCGACTCCAGCCCCATACCGCGCGAGGGTTGCACTGGGAATATAGATGATCGCAATCGGATCCCCTCTCCTCACGTTCCGTAGCGTTGTCTTCGTCGCCACGTTCATCTCATCCCATGGAGCAAATGCCCCGAAGTGCAGTGCTAGCCTGTTACCGCCATCGATTCCGCCGGGGACTAGCCCACAGCGTACGATGCTTGGCAGGTTTTCCACATACGTCACATGGAATGCTCCTCCGAGAGTATCACCCATTCTTGCGGAATACCTATTCGCCAGTGCGGATGAGCTCATGAATCCAAAATCACTGTGACCGGTTGTGACTCGGATGCACCAAGGTCTGTACCATCCATCGCATCTGTTGAACATCCTGTCGATGTCGTCCCGATCCACGCCAGCCTTGGTCATTTCCTCCCTGGCTGCCCTCGTGTCGTTCGGGTTCATGATGCTCGGAAACCTTGCTGCCAGAACCTGGAATCTCGATTTCTTGCTTCCGGATTCCTGCCACTTGATCACCTCCATGATGCCCATGTATCGTTTCGCTCTCGTGGTGTGCGGTGGGAATATGTCGTTGTTCCGGTCGTCAATGACAGCATCAATGTCGACCCATCCACCCTCGTCGCACCTGAAAGCACTTCCTCGGCAATTGCCGATCTTGTGTCGAAGGACTCTGCATAGGTCGTGAGATAGCTGGTTTGCTTGGTCCCTTGTAGTAAATACCGAGCGATCATCACCAATCCTGCATAGTGGAGCACCGTCGAAAGGAGCAATGCAAAAGTTGACACTCTTGCCAAGTTGCATCACGTCCACTTGCTCAAGGATTGCACCTCTGGGAAAGTACCTGGGGTCAACAATAGACGCGTATGCCCGTGGCATATGCACTTCAATCATGTCGCCGTACTTCGGGATGTAGCACGGGATGGTGTCGCATCCCATCTCAAGCGTCTTCTTGAATGTCCTGCTGTCCCCGCACGGGTTGTATGTGAGGTCGACGCCACCACATTGTAGCTCTCCTCCCTCAGCCGTGTCAGCCATCTCCACCAAATTAATAGTGTAGCTGTACATCTCAATTGTTTCTTTCCCTGCTTGTCCTCCTTTCTTTCTTTCCTTGGACGTTGATGAGGACGGTTCCTCCGTATCCCCCATGTCTTCATCAGATGAAATAGGGTCACTGCTGAGTAGCTCACGGAGCACCTTCATCGCCTTCTCATTTCCAGCAGCCTCCTCAATGTCCTTGCAGTCGCCGTCGTGGGCCAGGTTCGCGCACTTCTTACAGATCCCCATATCTCCCATGCACTTCTCCATTGACTCCAGGAATCCTAGTGCCGCTCTCCGCCCGTCGATCACTCGCTGCTTCTTGTCTTCCTTCTCAGTATTGGTTTGAGAACTTCGACTCGGGTCTGGTGCTTGACCAAGACCCTCATCTTCGCCCTCCGTGGCCTTTCTCTTGGAACCTTGTGCA